TTTTCAGTACATAACAATTAAATCGCACAACAAATAGATATAATATCATCATATTAAATATAACATTAATCACTCCACAATTCACAAAATAATTATAATTACAATAATTATATAAATCTATTATAATTATATACAATTATTTTAATTTCAAACAGTTTAATGTATATATATCGAGCATAATACACAGTGTTGAGTATACCAATTATTGTATGATATATCTGTATAGGTACCAATATTATTATAACAAAGGAGTCTCTGCTCTTTGCCCTTTAAACAGATATACAGTAGGTATATTATATGATTTATTTGATTTATGTGTATTTTTGTGAGTCTTTTTGTATAAATATTAAATATTCAACAAACTTCGATAACACTTTATAATAATGTATTGCACCTTATAGATACAACTATACAAGTTAAGTATGTATTTTTAATTATAGAAAAGCACGAAATACAGCGATACAGTTTTAAAGCTCTAAATTAGTATCTAGGATACTGCATACTCACGATATTCAAACCTTTGCTAGATCATCATATTATTATAGACTCGATAGATAGATACATAACATGAGTTATAGGTGACCCTGCAGATGCCAAACAATGTGCGTAGGTACTAGGTACCTACCTATTATAGCTACTCATGTCTCGTATTATTAGGTACAAACGGAACAATAGTAGATATTACAAATAATAATGTACTGCAAGGCGGACGTCCTGTTCTATACACTCTGAATGCCAATAGCTCCAGTCCTTAGTTGTGAAATGAACGATCATCAAGAAAAGATTATCGATTTTTGAAGATCTATCAAAGTTTTTATTCTCTGTTTTAATATATATGACATAATATGTATATATTGTATATCATGTAATTATATCAGGACCTGGATATCAATGCGTATGTAGTAGGTACACTATTTTTTAAGTGCTTTTCAAATGGTACAAAATTAATTTCATATAACAGATGCTTTAACACTGATACTTAAGACACTTTTACTCTGAATTTTTTCAACATTTTTCGACGTTTTCTATGTTTTGAGCATTTTTGTCATCCTTAGGTTATCTTATAAAATGTAGTGCATTTATTGAAATATTGTACTTTCAACATGAACATGAAAGAATTCAAATTTTAAATGAACTTTACGAACATTGAATTTTTTTAGATTAAAACGATTGTTATCATAATAATCTTTATACAATATATAAGTATTGAATAAAATTAAAATTTGGAAGGCTATAGCCTGTATAGGTAACAACTAACAATTAATAAACCTATTTCTATTACAGCCTTATTATAGGCTATACATTTTAATGATATTTTGCATTTTTTGCATTAAACAATAATTATTACAATAAAGAGCATTTAAAAATCGTATATATACGCCACCTATACTCAGCTATACTTTTTACACAAGCGATTATTATTTTAGATTCTCAGCAGAGCGATGAATATTTATTGATTATACAATGATGTGAGTTTTTTTTCTATCTGTCATCTCTTTTTGGGGCAGTAAAAATATTACAATTTTCAACTTAATTTATGATTTTTGGTAGCAAAATGGATCTAGTTGATTTCAATCAAAGTTAAAAATTCCAAAACTTAAAAATAAAAAATTGTTATTTTTTGAGTGTAACTATAAAAAACGAATAACAAATAACTATATTATAGTCATATAGATACTTCAAATTTTTAATGATTGTCTATTTATCTTATAATATAAACGTTAAAGTATTCTGATTCTTTTTGAGGTATTATAAGCAAGTTTTAGTTTTCTTTCAATTATTGTAGATAAAAATTGTTTACTAGGTCAAAAAGCTAGAAAATCTTATAATAAAGTTTTTTATAAGTTCTTATTATAAATTTTTAAAAATATTAATAATATTTAAGCACACACAATTTTTTTTTATGATAATTTGAAATTCAAACATAGACGAAATTACATAGGTATTTAAACAATGAGTAACTATGTTAATTGTTCTGTTATAATTCAATAATATTATTTGTGAAGATTTATAACTTAACTATTATACGCTATGATATTTTCAAAATATGTACATTACTCTTAAGATATACTGCCTATTTATTCCGAGAACCTATTCAAACTGTTTATGGTAAGCTAGTATTGAAACAAAAGTTAATATTGTTAATTACTATAATATATTATGATACAACTATATATTATAAAATAATTAAATATTAATAATAGAATAAAAGCAATATTTTTGGAAAAAACAAATTAACTAACCATAATGTTATAATATTTTAAAAATTATTTTAATAGTAACATCAAAAATATAATATCATAAAATATAAGTGATATAGACCGTTTCCGCTAAGAATCGTTTTTCGTTTATTATAATTTATCATTAAATATAATTTAACAACAGCGACACATTCAATATTTTAAGTACAGCAATGTAATACCCTCTTACTCACCTTATTTTTATACCTAACGAGTAGATCATCGGTCGTAATTCGGTAGCTAAATGATATTTATTGTCTAATATAATTGTACAATATTCAGGGTACTTGCATAGTACATTTATATATTAAAATTAATGATAAAATATTTAAATATAGTTGTAAAGTCAATGACTCTTTGGCACTTTGCACTTTGTATTCTACGGCTTCATAAACAAAAACAAACCATTAATGTGTACCTATACTCGTGAGTTCTTGTGACGTGTATTTAACGGATACACCATACACGTACAAAACTGGCAATTAATAATATTTTAATTATTATTTGAAACGACTGTAACATATGGCTATATAATATATTTTATTATACATCTGATTCTTGGTAATAAATTGGAATAATTGGATGTAATTGAAATAGGTTCTACTTCAAAGATAACTTTTTTATCGTTTTTATATTATAATAAAGAAATTATGCTTTAATATAAGATATACCTGTTTTTCATAAAACAGAAATATTATAATTTTAAACCATCAATACAAAATAGATACTTAAGTACTTATAAATATTTTCACCAATTATTATGGTGTATATATAATGATAGGATTAAATAATGAAAAAAAAACTTTTGCATTTTTAAAATGTGGTAACTATAGGTATTTCAAATATATTAAATAATTTAAAATTTTGAAATTATTTCTTTGGTATTCTGTTAAATTAATTATTAAATTAAAAAAATTAAACAGGACATGTTTATGAGATTAACTAATGTAGGTACCCTAAACTTTTTTCTACTGTAAAATATGAAACTTTAAAGGCACGTGTAACCAAAGCCATGCCGATATGATTTGGCGTCTAGAGAAAAATTAAAAGTATTCGTACTACCTCTTCTATTAATTTACTATTTAATCTTTTTCAACTTATTTGTTATTGTCATATTAAAATATATGATCATCTGTAAACGTTATTTAAGTATGATTATATTATAAACTATATGATTCAAAATTATCGCTGAATAATACAATTCAATCAGACAATGAACTTTTTGGCGCTCCCTTAAAATGTGCGCCGGTGGCACAGGCTCCCTTTTAGCCCCCTCTCAGGGCACGGCTCTTACTTAACAATAATTAGGAAAAATCTGATCAATTACAAATACAAATTTGTTTAGAGATGGTTAGATTTAAAATTTTAACCAACCCATATTTTTACATAATGTTTGTGCGTCATTATGACTTACTATTAAACAGCAGATGGCAATAACTACGTACCTATCTATTGAGTATTCACACGGGATGGATTTAAATATTAAACTACAGATAAACAAAATATATATACCCATATTAAATTTATAAAATTGAGTTTTGACATTTTATCATGTACGGATAATAAACATTATCTATAATTCTAAAACACAGTCTTAAAAGATATGTTTTAAGAATATGTTCATTATATCTTTATTATCTACATAATAAATATTATCTGAATTCTGTACGCATTCACAACTTCCGTTCAAACCGGCGCCGCATGTCGTGTACGCATAGAATCAGTGACGTCATGGACATATTTTTTTGGAGCGATTGTCCCAAACAATTATTTTAAGTATTTATCATCAAAAAAATTTGTGTTAATTTTAATTCAGTGTGATAAGTTAGCATTATACAATAAGTATATTTTACTGATTATTATTACTGATATATTACACTAGAATGACTCAGCGCTGATAGGTATCAAAAGACAAAAACACATGTCTGATGTCATTGTTCTATGCGTATAGTTTGGAATAGAAAAACTGGGAATTTGTTATACCTATTTAATATTTGGGAAGCTAGTTTTTTTTTTTTTTTTGGTGATTGAACTACCTACACTATGAATTACCTTTCAAAATATAGTAATTAAATTATTCTTAAGTCCCTTTTTTTTTATTTGGTCATCGTTACCATCATAAAGTGAGGCATACCTATTTTATTTATTAAGTAAAATGTTCGTCTAAGAACCATAGCAGACATTATTTTTCAGTTTTTGAATGACAATGCATTTTCCAAATTAAACTAATATAAAATGTATTCTACCCATCTACTTATTAAAAATACAATTTTTTTGTCAAATAGTGAAATAGCTATAAAACGAAAATGTCTCTTTCAGAATTTGTACCTACTTGTATGACAGTTATATTTATACATGATAATTGATAGTTGATACTACTATATCTCAGATTAGTTTTTAACATTTATTAAAATAAAAAGATAAGGAAAGGAACTAATGATTTAGTAATTTTATGTTAACTGTACCTAATAAAAAGCGTAATTTCAATAAATATTAAAATTAAAATGTAATTCAAATATCATCAAATTATTTAAAAAATAATTTTGTTACAGTGTTATTTGTAACTCGGTTAAGTTACTCCCCAGCACGGATAATATCTACGCGTATAACCGTATAGGATATTATTTATTTTATTTAATTGCGAGACGGAACAGCGGAGTCATAGCAGGTCACATTAATTAGGTACTGTTAATTGATAATATTGTAAAATACCTACCTAATATCAATATTTTTTAATATGATAAAAAAAAAAAAAAGTTAAACATAAACGATTTTAATTTTATGTCTAAGCGGAATGGATATCCTTAATGTTCGCTCTTACGGATAAAACATCCGTCACGCCACCGCGTACAAAGAAACCGTACAGTAAAGAAAATATCTTTAATCGTCGACCGTCGTACAACTACATGTCTACATGTTCGCGACATCGCTATCATATAATTTATTTTATCTTATCAGCCGTCGATTATTGTCATAGACCATAGTCATCGTCGTCGTCGTCGTCGTCGTGCGAGTAGCATGTGTCGAATGTCGATGGTGGTGGCGGTGTCGGTGGTCTCTGATTTGTATCGCAAATCACAACCTCACCACATAGCGTCCAGCGCGCAACGGCGCAACACTTCGATTGTTTCTGTTCGTCGCCGCGATTACTGAACGTTATACAACAATTTCAATAATTTAGTGATCGGTTATAATAAAATTGTGATTTCTTTTCATAGTCGATTTATTACCCTTGTCGAGTATCTCTCGATTCTTCCGCGCCCCCTTCGCTGTTAATTTCGCACACCGTTTGTCGGACGAGCATCGGAGACAGTCCACGCGGAAAACACAACGTCTTGATGGACGATTCGCGTCCGACGGTGCGTTATTGTGTCGGTTGATATTTAACAATTAATTTAATTATCTATCACCATTCACCACTCACCAGTGCGATCGTACACCCAACCAACGGCGGCGAAAGTAAATTGCTTTACGAAATTTGCATAGTGTTAAAGTAAGTATACTTATTTATAATATTTTTATGACTTTTCAAATCGTTTAGTCAGACACCAGACACGGTGCAGCATATTTTTACATTTTTTTCTTACTCGAAATTTCTTATTTAAACATACCTACTCACAAACACATGGAATCTAGTGCTTAGATATGAATCTATCACATTATAAATACTGCTTGAAAATTGTTCAAAACCCAATCCATTGATAACAATTTCAGAGTTTTTAGATATGGGCAGTTACTTTCCATTATTGTTGCCTGTTCAAAAACTTAATTTATAACTTGTGTGTCCTTTGCCTGGTCATAAATTGATGACAAGCCATGTTAGGTGTCTTAAATTATATCTTTGGATAGAACTATTGATTAACACATAGCCTTTATTTTCCCAGATGTCACCACAACATAGCAATATAATTTGCAATGTACAAAATAAAAGTGCAGATCCAATGGACATCAAGTTCAATGGTTATGAATACCATATGATCAGGAAGTTTACTTCCATGTGTTATGGTAGTAGATGTAATCTCATTGACAGGATAAAAATACGCAACAAGATAAGTGTATGGCATGAAATATTGACATACTTATTATCACCTGATGGCGTTCTCAAAATTTATAAGGTTGAATGTACACCAGGTGAGAATAACGACTTCATGACATCTGACTCGCCACCAAATTATGTGGTAAGACCTTTATTTTATTTAATGCTTATTTAACATAACTTAAACAGTTTTCTAAACATTTTTTCTGTATACCACTCATATGCCTTTAAACAGTTGAAAATGTCAATATAGTTTTGACAATCTAAAAGCAAAACAAAATTATAATAAAAGTTTTTAAATTATCAAAGTGTCTTATTTTCATGATTTAGGATAATAATTATGATTTATGTACATAAAATATGAAATAATATTAGATCCAACACAAATATTAATTAATTAAATTAACAAATTTATTTTGTGTAAAATTATTTAACATATATTTTGCTAGCTAACCTCTGCTCTATACTGTAGGTATTTACCATATATTTAGTTAGTGTTATTCTATTGTTTCTTTATTTAACTGACAGCAGATGTAAATACTATTTATCTCAATAATAAATAATTTTTACAATATTTACATACTAGTAAATAGTTTTTATTGTTTTTATTCAAAATATTAAAACAATCGATCATAATCCATTTTAAAGTATTTGTATGAATTAGTATTCTTTGACGTGTTGTTTAAAATAAAGTTTTTAAAAATAATGAAGTATTTATTGTAATATGTTAAATAGTTAATGTTATTAACTATTTATTATTTTATTAACTTTTATATTAATTCATTATTTTATACTCCTGGATTAGATTAAAAAATATTAATGATTTACCAAGTAACCATGCTTACCTTGCTTAACTATTTTTTTTAAATTAAGTTGGCTATTTATGAGGCTAATTCATTTCTTACATATCAATTACATATTCATTTATTTATGAATTTATATAAAACGTATAATAATATTATTACCTAACCTATTTAAATTAAATACATATGTTTTTACAAAAGAAAAAATATTTTTGTTTGAGTAGTTGTAAATAAAATAATAAATATCACAATATGCGTAATGCATGTCATTGTTTAAATAATATAACATTGAGCATTTTAAAATAATACTTTTTAAAAGGACGCTATACAGACTTTAGTTTTCTCTCTATTACAAGTGTGTAATATAGCAAATTTATGTTCAGCAGATTAGGTTTAGCTTCGTTGGTTTAAAAATTTGAGTAAATCGGCTTCTAATGAAACTTAATGGTTAGAAGATCATTTGTTTGTATGTGGTTTTTTACGATAATTTAATTTTTTAAATGAGTTATGAGTATTTTTAATTTACTATATTTTACATATGCAAAACTTGCTATAAAATTGAACTATTGTAAAAAAAAACCCCACATACAAACACAGATAATCTTCTTACCATCAAGTTTCATTAGAAGTCTATTCACTCTAATTATTAAACCAATAAAGATAAACCTAATTTGCTATGTTATATGCACTTATAAAGTAGAAACAACAAATGTTTGTGTAGCGTCCTCTAAAATAGTTCACAAACAAATGTATTAATAATGTATATAAAAGTAACAAATTGTGCATTTTTTAGATAAAACGAAAATTAAAAGCTGTGATACGGGGTAATGAGGGTCATATAGTGAGCTCAAATGTTCCATTAAATGTAAGTAAAAGCTAATCATTGGACAGATATTCTAATATTTTAGCAAAAAAAATTTTTTCTTGTTGAGTAATTTAGTATTTCTGTAAATAATACCATAATTTAATTTTTACTTATTATTTGTAGTTAGGTAATCCATTATTAGATGGTCCAAGTTACATAGAAGAAACTATAGAAAATTATCCACTACGATTACTGACATTTTTGAAAATTGAATTAAATCAGTATCGCAGATCATTGAATATTCCTTATTGCACTCCATTATCAAGGTATCTACAAAGATATAATATTGTTGAAATGTATTTGGACAATATTCTAAAAAGTATAGATGACAGCAAGCTTCCACCTGAGATAATTTCATTGTTCAAAATTTACAAAAAATATAGTTTTTCTGTATATTTTAATTTATGTTTTAAATGATAAATTAATTTTATGTTCATATTTTTTTTTTTTAGATTTTTTTATGTCAGAATGTTAAAGTTTTATCTCTCAAACACAATCATTTACGGCAAATACCAAGTGCGATTGGCCGACTATCTAAGCTTGAAGTGCTTATACTCACTGACAACTTATTAACTGTCCAATCAATTCCTTTTACTCTTAAGTTTTGTGTGAATCTAAAGGAGCTATATGTTGATGATAACCAACTTGAAGCATTACCTGGATTTTTAACAAGCATGAATCATTTAGAATTAGTTTATAGACTGGGAAATCGAAATTACTTTAAGTCATTTTTTTTGTGGTATCACACTGATTATGATCATAGGTAATTGTAGCTTTAAGAAAAATATTTAATTATTATGATATTCTAATATTACATATTTATTTGTAATTATAGAGCTCGTAAAGAGATTTGGAAAAATTATTGGATAAGAGGAGGAATAGGTTCAAGACCAGCTGTTTCATCCCTTTTAGACATTTGTGTTGAGCAAATATTTTCAAGTGGAATTAATTTTTTTAATGAAGAAATTCCAGAATCCTTAAAACATTATATGTCTTTGACTTACCTTAATTACAATATATGTAACTTCTGTAATATTGCAACTGACTGTTCAAAACCAGGTTATTTTATATAAATATTTTGAAATACATAGTAAAAAACTAATATTTTGTTTTCAATTATAGGTTATAGTACAGTAACATTTTTAACTCCTTATCTGGGAAATACTTGTGTTCCATTTCAACATTGGGCCTGTTCAAAAGAATGTGTTCTTGCTATTGAAGGACCTGCAAAAAAATTACAACTTGCAGGAGCAGAGAGACTGGACCATGAATATTCTCATTACATAGCAACTTCCAATAAAACTGCTGAAAAATCTAATAAGAAACTAAAGCATAATCGATGTTGTATAAGTTAAATTATTTAGTTATTTGACATGTTCATAAATAACAAATATGCACTTTGTTAATTATTTGTATGAGACTGATTTATATTTTTAACATTTTAATTGTGATAGAGTGGCCATTACGGTCACCAGCTATTAAAAATATAATCCATTAAACAAACTTGATTGTAAATATTTGTTAGGTAAGGTAAATAAAATTTGATATTTTTAAAGTTACTTTAAGTAGATTGATTTTACTGATTTCATAAAATAAATGATTTAATAACAAGTATGAATTTAGTAAAAATAAAAATTATTTTATGTTTTCTTTATTATTTTCTTCTACAAACTTGCACACTTAATATATTTTAATATTTATAACGCCATTTTAGCTTAAATTTAATTATTAATTTATACATTTTTGTAAATTTGACAAATTTTGTTATAATATTAACTTTAAACGCTTGTAAAACAAAATTGTTACTTCTATTAAGCTGTTGCCTTTTGACTTTTAAATTTAAGCATTTATCATACATAAATAAAGAAAGTCAAACAATTATAAAAAATAAAATCTTGAAATTATTTCATGACTTTTTAATTTTAATATTTGATGAAAACTTCACGTTTACAGTTGTTATTGAATTGCAGCAAAAATCAAATCAATTTTTTTCTCATATTTTTTGATTATTTGATTAGTTTTAAACTTTTATACACTTTAAATTTTTACTCCCAAGCTATACCAATTATAGATTTTATTTATTACAAAAAATTACCTTTTAAGTTGAAAATTTGTGCAGTTTTTGATAATTTTTAAATGGAATATAGATAATTTATGAAGATCCTTGTATCAATTAATGTCCAAGGTTTTTTTGTTCAAATAAAAAGTTGAAAATTCCAAATATTTAAAAGTAAAGAAACAAAAACGATTTGGAAATAATTCTGTGTTTGAGTCTGAATTTTACCAATGCCAATTTCAAATAGTATTGTATAATTTATGACTCGTACACTAATATCCTATGGCAGTAATACTCCACCTACTAATAGTTTTTATGCGACTCAAACAGAACTTAATGAATTGATAAAAAATATAAATTTTATAACTAATATTATAAATATGAAATAGGTATAAAAAAATGATCTAAGGGTGTTGTAGTTGATTGCAATAAAGATGATTATATTTTTAGTATTTTCACTATTTCTAATGATTTTGAAATGTGTGAATAATGTGTATTAAAATGAGCATACTGATTCACATCTTGACAACTTAGTAAAAGTAGTATGCAGCAACTACAAACCAGATAAAACAATTTCAATATCAAAATTCACACTAATTTAAGATAAATATTTTATTTTTTTACAATAAATTTTTAAATTTATACACAATAATAACCTAACCTTTACCCGCATAATAGTTTAAAATATTTTGTGGCCCAAATAAAAAAAGGTTGAGTATGGATGTCTTGAGGACTACCGACGTCTGCCATGGTATCTCACACCTACATCTGCAATACATATATATTGTGATCGGTGACACTAGTGAGTTGCATATCAATAATGTTCTTTAATCTATGATATTAGTTATTACTATAATCTATTAAGTTTAAGATAAAGTTTAAGTTTAACCACTCAGATATCAACCCCCTTGTTGAATCATCGCATTCCCACTACTTAATGACCTATATAGTGATTTATAATTTGTTATATACCTGGCATTTTGCACCATATTCATGATAAATGATTGTCACCAATGATAAAACGCATAGCGTTATTTTAGAGGGTTAGACGGTGATCCATGCTGCAGTCTGCGTACGCAAAAGCGATTCAAACTCAACCTAAATCAAGTATAAATATCTGCTTATTCTTAATTTAGATCTTAACAATTAAGTCAAACTTCAATACAGAAAATTCACGAAAAAAACAATAATCAACTACATGGTAGCTAAGGAACCAAACCAAAATTTGTTGTTGTATAAATAATTACAAAGAAATATTAAAAAAAAAAATGTATTTTAATCTTCACTTATTTTTAACAATGAAGAAATTTTTTTTTCCAAACTTAAATAATTCACAAGCTATACATGCGTTTTATAAATGAATTTTGTTTATTTTCTGTACGTTTGAAAGACTCGTAAACCATTTTTATATCTCGTGTATCCAAAACTTCTTTTATTTTACTTCTGAAATTTAAATAAAATTATGTTTTAATGCAAATTTCAATAATAATAAACTCAACATTTAAAAAGATAGAAGTGGACATTGATTTGATGTATATTAGATGTAAAGTGGGCGACTATTATGAGTAGATTGAATTTGAATTTTATGACATAAATAGTATGTTTATTACGAAAAATCATTCTAGACAGTAACAGTCTGTCAGTCTATAACACTAAGTATATTATAAATAGCAATTAAAGTCATTTATTTAACATTTAATATTAAAGCAGGTTTAAAATGTCTATAGAAATAATATTCTTTATATGATTTTTAGATTTTATAGTTACAATATGAACTACTTATGATAAATCTTATATTAAATTTTAACAATTTAAATGTAAAACAAAGTTATTGTAAATTCCTAACTACAAATTAGTTAACACGTTTTTGTAATTTTGATAAATTTAATCAAAGTTTTAACTTAAAATGCATAGCAAAAAATTGTGCTTATGTGTTTTTAATATTTTTATACAGATGTAAAAAGAATTTGTGTTTAATTTTTAAAAATTTTAATCAAGCAAATAATTTTTATTTGATATTTATAGAAAAAAGTGTAAAAAAATTAAAATTGATCGCGCACATAAAAAGCTTAGAGTTGAAAACATTTGAAAATTTTTTCATACATAGAAAATTGATAATATAAGCATTTTATGAAAATCTCAAGTACCTGCTGTTATTTTACTTTTTTTTGAAACACTAAGTATCAAAATTGTTTGAGTAAACATAATTATTTTACTAGTAATATTCAAATTATAAAAATTTAAACTTCAAACTCTTATAAAAAATTAATTTGGCATTCTGGTAGAAATTTTTGTTTTATTATTAAATAGAAAAACTTATAATAAATTAACCTAGTATATATTTTTTGATTCTTAGGTATAAAATTAAATTTTTTTATGAATTCCTAACTACATGATAATCTGTACATTTTCAAGATTTTGTCAAGGTTCTAATTTTAAATCCTTATAAAAAAAAGTATTATATCTATACATTTTTATTATTTTTTAAAACCACTTAGTATTAATTTTTAGTTTTGCCAGCTTTATGTAAAATTTTCAAGTATTTTTACCCAGTGAATAATTTATAATCGACGTTTATAGTAAAAAATTTCTCAAGGTCATAACTAATACAAAGATAGTTAAAATATTTTAAACATTTTATCATAAATAGAAATATATAAAATAAACATTTGGTGAAAATGTATTCAAGTTTTTAACGTTATTTTTTCTTGAGTTAACAAAAAAAAAAAAAATGATTTTGTTAAAAACTTAATTTGTGTAAAAATTTTTGATTTTTCTTAATTTTTTTTCTTTGTTTTTAAAAGCTATACAAAATCAAGTATTGGGAATTTTTAACTTTGACCTTTTCGAAGTCCTAACTAGATTCAGTTTATTATTTTAAACCATCCTCAAGTTTAAAATTTAATATTTTATAGCCTACTTATTGTATATACATAATTTACAAAAAAACTATATCATTGTAAAATCAATACATTCATCACTCTAATCAAAATCTAAAAAATATTGATTATTTGAATTTATTGACTAAGTATGTAGATTTATAATTACTAATTTCTAATACATAAAATATATCATACTAATAAATTAGAATTAAATTTAAATTTTAACCTGATACAAAAAAATTTAAATGCATTACTACATTTTCTTTCAAAAATGTTGTGCAAATATATCATTAATATTCTTAAATGATTATAATAACAATTTATGATGAACTTTGTATTATACTTTGTAACTTTTTTTTTCAGTTGTATTTATAGTAAAAAAAATAATCAAAAATGTCAAATGTTTATAAATAGCTTGAAAAGAATCAAAATATTTTAAAAATTATACTATAAACATTTGGTGAATTAAGTATCAAAAACTTATTCATTTTTGAAAGTTATTTTACATGTTAATTCACAATTTTGTCAAAGTTAAAACTTTCTAGAATTTTAGTCACTCATAAAAATATTTATGGAAATAAATTCAAATTTTTTTTTTTTAACTCTAGAATAACACCTTACAAGAAACTTTTAATTAAATTTTTAAGTTTTATAATAAGGCAAAACTGTTTTATCATATTTATTAAAAAAAACAAAACTAAAAATGTAGGTAATACATTTAAATAGCTAAAAAAGAATAATAATATTTTACATTTAAACTTTATCAATTATAAAAAATATTTGTATAAATATTTAATGAAAATTAAATACAAAATAAGAATATCGATTAGATCAAAATATAAAATTATTCCTTTGGTAAATTTTGTCATAATTTACTATTAGTCGATATTAGAAAAAATAATTTTTATTACAAACCCAATGGCCAGAATGTTATTCTTATTATCTTTAGATGCATTGTTTGTCCACACTGATAGTTTAGTTATTTTGCTTTGTATGCTAATTATAGCTCCATTAATTTCAGAACTATCATACACTTCACCAATCATACTCAATAACTAAAAGTAATAATATTTATAAATTAAAATAAAATAGAAAAAAAAATTAGTTCTCACTATTTTCATCCAATATTCATCTATAAGATGGATTTTATTTGATAATGGAATCTCCAATATCCAACGTCCACCAGCACTATTCTTATCATCATCCCAATTAGGTTTGATTCCGTATTTAAAATAGCTGTAATGGCTTTGTAACGAAAGTTGACTTGGTTTTTTAATGTGATTAAATAAGCTAAAATGTTTATGATTACTGATTAGTATTACTGTTTGTTTTTTATCAAAGGGGTTTATATTTTTAAAATAATTTACGTAATAAAAATTAAATAAATCTATACTTACTAAGTTGAAGTTTCAAAAATCAAATGTTGGCACTTTTTAAATGCATAACATATACGTATTATTTATAGATATTTTACATCTTAATTTTTTATTATTTAAAAGAAAACTTACCACCAAAAATCTTCAACAGTATCAAAACTAGTAACTTTATGTAGATTTTCTGCCGAAATTTTACCTTTTGGTTCATAATACCAAAATGTCCATTTATTCTCTAATAAATGTTTATCATCTGATTGCATTATCGCAACATCTTTTTCAGTTTCATTTAATTCTTTGTTTTCGACTTCTGGTGATTCATCCTAAATTAACATAACATAATTATATTTGAAAAAAATAAAATTAGTTACTTACAAACGCTAAAAAGATAAATTATAGTTATCTTAATGACTTACTAATTTCAAACTTTCTGAATTAATTTATATATCTAACATTTTTAATCTCAATTAATCTGATTTCTCAACATATACCCAGAGTTTGGAGCCATTGTTTATATTTCTAAATATTTTGTTTATAATACATAAAGATTTTTGTTTTAGATTTACCTATAATATAATATTATCAAAATAAATTAGATTTTAATTTATTTTTACAACACCAGAATTGAAGATACTTTAGATTATTTTTTAAGTTTATATTAATTAACTAATTTATAATTTTACATGTGTGTTTAAATTACTAATAAGCTCATAAAATATATTAGTCATATCCTTGGTTTTTAATCAATCATACCATGTAGCTAATTAAAAATAAAAATAATGTCTAATGATAAAACTGTTTGACTTTAATATAGGTTATTAGCGTTCTAAATTAAGTTATTTTTTTCATAAACAAGTATAAATATAAATTACACTTACAGACTAAGGAGGGGACTGAAATTTAAATATTATATTATAATATAGTATTTTAATTTTTAATTAACTTTTTGAGATGGTTTACAAAATTATTTCTTATAAATTATAATAAATATAAAATATAAAATAATATAATTAATAATATTTTTTTTATTAATAATAAAATTATTTTTTATCTATATTTGTTTTATAATATTCCCAAGCTAATATATCAAGAATATAATAATATTTTTTTAAATAAATCTTTTATCATCATAAATAATTAAAGCTTTTTTTTATTTTATTCTACTGAAAAAATATCATGTTTCTTTGTTCTAAGTAAATTTCTTTAGTACACATAAACTGATTTTTAGTTAATAAACAATTTTAAAAATCATTGAAACATAGATTATACGTCAACTATATTTTTTTTTAATACCTTTAAATTTTTAAATTTATTTTTCACTATTTAAGATTCCATATGAATATAATTTTGATCTTAGTTCTATAAATTCTGTTTATACACAAAAACACTACAAAAACATGTTTCATAACAATTCATTTACTTATAAGGATAAACTAATTTTTTAGTAATTAAATTTAAATGTTGTTTAAGAAAATATTTAGAGAGTTCTTTAAATTGATCTTTTTTAAGATTATTTGATAATTTATCTAAAGAACTAAATAAAAATTTAAAAGAATCAATAAATCTTAATTCTGTTTTTAATATAATCATATTATCTTCATCAGGTATATGTACTTAACATTTTATAATTTTTGAAAAAGATTTATATTTTTCCTCATTATTTGGAATTAATTTTATTTCATTTTTATTATTCCCAAATTCTTGTATAAATAAAAGAGCAATGTAATCAGAAAGATAATGACAAAACAATTGAGATACAAATAGGATTTTTATAAGTAAGATTACACAAATAATGTGCAGCTCCTCTATATTCTCTAAGCAGATGGTCATGATCACATTTTATTTTATTCTCAGAATAATCTTTTTCATTCAATTGTGTTTAAAATTTTAAATATTTTTTCATGTCATATCATTTTGTTTATAATATTAAATAGCATTTAAAATTTTTTTCTTCTAAAATTAGGAATAATTTTTTTTAAATATCTTTTACAAACATGACATTTAATCGATTGGTTATAATTTAATCCTTTTATTGCACATATTGGACTTATTGGAATTATATTTCTAAAATAAACATTTCTTTATTTTATATACATTTTAAAAATTTTTTAGCTATGTTTGAATCAGTATACTAGACAGGTGGTTTATAATCTCCATTACTATATTTAATATCATGACAAAAATTATTAAGTATATGTTTCTGATAACAATTAGTAAAATACTCTGTATCACTTAGTTTGCAAGTATAGATTGGTACATTAAAAATCAAAATAAATTGTAGGAGGGATTTTTAAAGAATGGTTTTAATTTTTAAATAGTTAAGTTTTATTGTAAGGTGTTGGTAGTATTATTTTACCAAATTTATTATAACCACAATAACTTTAATATATTATTAACTAATCTTGTGCAGGATAACTTAATATATTTTACACAAAATTGTTATGTCCATCTTTTGAAAGTTGATTTCCTACAAGTTTTCACAAATCTTCAATCTAACAATAATTTATTTTAATCTCATCTTTTAGATAAAATAAGTCTATATATTTAGTTTTTTAAATTTAAATTACTTCTAAAGGTACAACTATACTACTTTCTAAATAATAAATGTTAATAAAAACATCCTCCATCATGTTCACACATTTTAATATATACATGTTTTTATTGGAAATTAAATATTTTTAAATTCTTCTTTGAATTCATTCTCCCATTTTCTATATTTTTTAACTGTTTTATTTTTTATTTCTATCAACAGAATGTAAAACAGAAGGTATTGATTATTCACCAAAGAAAACATTTATTATCTTTATTTTGAATATTTATAATAGCTTTTTTATATGCAATATATTTTTATAATGGAATATATTATGAACTCTATTTTAAAGGTATACCTATTTATTTATATTTAATAAAAATCTGAAAATTTTATCAAGAATGGTTCTGTATGAAGACCAATTATTCAGATTATTGAAATATTGAAATAATTTAAAAAAAATTGTATATCTTAAAACCCATTATTATTTTCAACAATATAAGTTATTAAGTTGTTTCTTTAAATTTAAAAATTGATCGAATATCTTTCTTATCAAAATCAAATAATTTTTATTAAAGTTAAAAACTTTATATGATTTTGGTATTATTTTTTCTTGTTTTCTTTGGATGTAGCTTATTAAATCTAGTTTTAATTATTTGGTTTATATTTTTTTATGATGAATAAATTTCAAATATTTAAATCAATTTTTGTAGGTAATTGTTAAACTACCTACATTTAACACAATCTTTATTTGGATATATTATTTTTATTTAATACATCTAAGTTATATAGAAAACAATTCCTTTAACTTGGGATTCAATTTTGCCATGTCATATCAGTCTAGCCTGAATCAGGATTAAGACTAATACTTGTCGTAGACTGTCCAACTACATAGATGCAAATACTCAGCTATTCTTAGTCTTAGAGCTTAGATAATTATACCTATTATTGCTATATCTATTTCGTGTTCAAAAAAGTAATTACACTTTATTTTATTAAAAATAATTAACAAGTTTTTTGTTTGTAACAAATACAAATATCTATCTCATAATCGTCTATGGTCGTTACGTTAAAGTAATTATTAATAAGCAATATTCTACACAGCGATCATTACAAAGGTCGAAACATACATTTAAGTCTTGAAATTGTATAGCTTGTATAGCTTAAAGTTTAGAAATTTCAAATTATTAAAAAATGTATTTCTCACCTTAGCCACATTCATGCGCGTATTTTCCCCTTGTTCTTCGCTCATCCTAATATTAAAAAGGAGTGAATTTTAAAATTAAAATACGAACGCGCAAACAATAAACACAAAATTGATTAAATTTTGCGGTAGCCACTACCCAACGACCGGCAAGGTATCAAAATACGTCTACTACTAAACAAAGTCCGGCGTCCGCACGCCTTACGTTTCTGTATTTCGCTATCGAACGAGCACGCCGATCTTGGATCTTTCAAAGCTGCAAGCCTGGTTCAACCGATCAATGAAACAAAGATTCGGTAATTGCCAATTGGTCCACACCGCGAAACGCAAAAGCGTATGTAGTTATGTGTGACTTGTTCAGTTTACAAAAAAAAATTTCATTTTACTCATGGTTACACTGTGCTTGGACCCACGAATCACGAAGTAGATGAAGATGAACTGATAACACTTGGTGAAAAAACGGTCGCTCGTTAGTCGTTTTGACAAAAACATTTTAGTTGGAATAAATTCCACCGAGAACGCCACAGTATTCGAAGTCCTTTAGCCATGCTTATTGCTTAATCATTTATGTCTTAAATCTTAATTAAGCCTTAATGTTTATTGTTTATTGCTGACTAATTTACTATAATATATTTATATTACTGTTTCAGGTTTCTAGTTTCTATATAGTTTTTACCGTACTGTAAATAATATGACACACGTTAAGACAAAATAAAATACTTTTAAAATTTAACAGGATACACAATTAAAATATTTAAATATTTTATGATTTTGATGAACCGATTTTAAAATATATACATATATATATTTATACATCAAAACTTATTTATTAATAGTAATAACTAATATTAAAAACTTAATAAATTTTATAGAATAGACGTACGATATTATGACGTGGTGTCTGATGACCTAATATGTAAGTTTAAAACTGAAAATCAGACTCAATCCTTTGACATCGATACTACCACAGTATTATATAATTTTTAACTAAATTGTCTGATTGTCACAACAAATCTTAACCGCTAGCCCCCCTCCTTCCAATTTTCAAAAAAGTTAAATATTATAACTATTATAACTAATATAGGTAACTGACATTTAGATTTATGATAACTAAAGGTGGACTATAGCTGACAAGTGACAATTATAATAAAGAACCTGGTAATTATCTTAAGCATTTTATTAATAAATGTAAATAAACATTATTTAAGCATCAATGACGACGAGAAAGGTTAATTACATACCTACTTAATCTATAACAGAATAAAAAAAGTGCCTTAAGTTGTACCCAATTGATATATTTAACAATACAATAAACTAATGAATCGTTTAATTTTGACATTCAATCAGTAAATCAGTAACTCAGAATCTGTAAGTAAATTTACTTTTAATTAGTGTTAACTATTTCTTTTTTTCATAAATAGTAAGTAAGTAAACCTATTATCTATTTAGTTGTAATTTTTTTATAAAATCACAAAACCAGATAGAAATGAAGTAGATACAACTTAATATTTGATAAATCACCTGCGTCCTGCGTTTAGGTTAAGTTTCACTTCCAGGCTCCACCAATAGCTTCAAATCTTCAAGAATAAATTAAAAATTTAAATAATTCATTGACAACTCCAAAATTTGTAGAATCAATATTCATTATAATATTTCTTATTAATTCTTATTAATGTTAAGTAAATATGTATTAAATATAAAATTATAATAAGTATACATTTTTTTCAATTTTAGCATGGCTAATTATTTAAGCAATTTTTATAAACGAAAAGTGTTGAAACAAAAAAAGATAACTTTATCAAACATATATATGTATAACACATTAAAATATAATAACAATTTTATACATTTAAATGCTCTGTTGTAGATAATATGTCTAACAATTACAGATATTATGTTCTTAATCAATTCTTATAGTTACATTTTTAATTACTTTTTTTATGATTTTATAGATTTTTAATCATTCATTAGTTACAAATATTTAATATTATTAATATTATAAAAATTGGTATTTGTGTAGCAGGTGTGGTTAACTATTAAATTGAAGCCTGTGTGCAAATTGTATTTGAAAGCCCCAAATTAATATGATATTTTTTACTTGATTCTTATATTACTACAGCAATTAAGTATTTATATAAATTTTATAAACACTTTTTTAGTATTTTACTTACATGTAATCATTTCTGAATTTATACATATATTTTACTAATAAATAATAAGATAAGAAGTGTAACTTATTATTAAATATGTAGATTAAATTTTATACCAAAACCAATTTATTAATGTCATCTCTAAATTAAGTACATGCATGATGTTTTTGTAGTTTTCATTTTATAGTGTTTATGATTAATAATTAAACAGAACAAAATAATTAACAACATAAAAAAATATTTCGAGAAATATTGAATCTTTAGTTACAGTCAACTTCTTGTACTAGGTACAGTAATTTTGCAAAATTTTAATAATTTTATTCAAAAGCAAAGAGGCATTTTTTAATGAAATAGTTGTACTTAATAAAATATATTAGATATAGACAAATAATATTTAAAGGTCTTAAAATATTTTCCCAAATATACTAAAAAATTAATAAAAATGTACTTAATTTTATTTTATTTATAAATGTTTAATTGGTCTTTTTTGTTACTTATAAGTTATATTATTATTTATTGTTAAACACTTGATTCCATTCATAAACCATTCTTTTAATGCAAATACTTCTGCAGTATTATTTACCCGCAACACCTTCTACCAGCGCTGCTGAATCATTTAAAATAGTTATTGATATATCGTACGAAAATTCTACTAATTTCTATTTTTAACACCTACTGTACAACAAAGCGAATTTCCCTAATTTTCCCCCCTTTTTATTACATATTTTTGAAAAAATATTACTTAAATATTTTTATTTTTTATTTTTTTTATACTATTATCAGAAAAGATACAACCTCCTAATTTAGAGGAACTTATGTTTTAGAGTCAAAATCACAAGATTTTAGGAGGTTCCAGTACATCAGATTTCATGCCTATGTTAAGATACCAGCAATAAGTCACATTCAGTTGATTTTACAATCAGAGTCTCAAAAACTTAAGTCCTATGTATTTTAAATATTTTTACGTATCTATAAGACCAACTCATGTAAGACACTGTAAAATTTTCAAGCTTTTTGGAAAAAAATTTTTTTAACATTTATAGAAAAGTAAAACTAAAAAAAATTAATTTCAAATGTTTGTAAATAACCCAAATAAAGTCAATATAATTTAAAAATACTGTTATGTACCTATAGAAAATGGTCATATTATATATATATATATATAGTCATTTTGTAAAGTTTTCAAGTATTTATAGTAATTTGTTACGGTTAGGTACACTATAAAAATGCAAATGTTTCCCCATTTTTTTTTTTTTATTTATAGTATTTTTTTAAATGTTGAAAATTTTTAATTTTGATTTCTTTAAAGCATAATGTAAGTCCAATTTTCTACTTGAAATCACTCTCAGTGTTAAAAACCAAAGCATATTATTTTTTTCACTACCTACTTATTGTGTATACCCACTCAAAACAAAAATACAGATCATTCTAAAATCAATAGGTAGGTACATTGAAATAAGTTTACTCAAAATTTAAAAAAGAAAATGTATTATCAAAATTATTTTTATAAAAAATATAAGTTCTATTTTTGATAAAATCACAAATATTTAAAACTTATTTTATAATTAAAAATTCATAATAATTTTAATTTTAACACATTGAAAAATAAATTCAAGGATCATCATAATTCATAAAATATAAGTCACTTTAACTGGAACTCAAAAAAATAAATTAATTTACTGTACTCATGATCTACATTATTTCATACTAGAATTGAAGTTAAAATTCTGATAAAACTGATTATTCAAAAGTAAAATAACAATGTATCCTCTAACAGCTTTAATGTTATTGTTATTTAGTTGTAATTCAAAAAATATTATTCATAAAAATTTGAAAGATTACCTACTTAAATTATAACTTTCTTTACACAAAGAAATTTTTAAAATATTTATATTAATTTTAAGTTTATTATACCAAGAACCTCTCAACATTTAAAGTCTAAGGTATGTTGATATTGACTTCTAAGTTAATAACAATATAACATAGGTAATAGTAATAAATTGCATTGTTTACATAGTGCAGTAGATTACTACTACATACTAAATGCTCATACTCTTGTCTCTTTGCACATACCTTGGCAATTAGATTTATGTAATTTTTATTGTTTTTGATTATCAAAACCGAAGTATTTTAAAGAATTAACTATAATGAATAGGGCTGGGAAATTTCAAAAAATGCCCATGAAAAGATGCAAAAATGACTTAAAAAACTCAAAAAAATGCACTTAAATTATATTTATTATAGCTTAAAAATTGGAAAAAAATTTTTTTGCTACTACAATAGTGTATTTTTTTTTTTTATAGTATTTTTCGTTGTTACATGCTTAGTTCTGTTATACTTCTGTTTCTTTAATCATTCGTTCTAAAATAATAATTAAAAAAAAAATGTTATCAACGATACTAATCGTGTTGTATAATTTATTATTCGTACCGTCGGCAGTTCGCCAAAAGTTTCTTATTAATCGCAAAAATATTCGTTCATTTTTAGAACAAATTGTGAAAAGTGCTCTAAAAAATAAGAAAATGCAAAAAATGTATTACTTTAAAATAGCCTGTATTGTCCACAACACATTTCATGCTTACGGACCAACGTTTCAAAACACCAGAAAAAATGGATTGCATTAAAATCCTTGTCTTAATAATGAATAATTCTTCCTGATCTAAGAAAAAAAAACCATACATATTTTAGATCATCAACTACACACATTAATCTATATTCTAGAATGAATAATGATATCTATGAATGATATGCTGACATATTATTAATTATTATCATTGTATAGCTTAAAACTTAAAGATAATAAATAAATAACGATCAAGTTTTCATACGAAGATAACGGTTACTACTTACTAAAATAAATGTTAGGTACTTCCAAATGTTCCAATATATTATACAACTCTTTCATCACTGATGAAAGGGACAACTTGTATTGTAGAGCATTGAGTTAAAAATGTTCTATTTTACTCAATGTTGTAAAGTTCACATAGAAATTGACACGAGTGACTTTCTTGTTTGCCAACATAGACTGGGGAAAGCCGAGTAAGGGTCTCTACCACCAAGAAAAAAGCTAGTTCCGTGGGAACACGGAGGCCTTTGATGAAGTCGCTAGCCACTCCGGCCGGCTAGACCATGTCTCTTTAACCAGTGCATGCACATTATACATCAATCATTCGAGCAACACCTCTTAATACCAGATTCTGCGAGTGAAAATTAGACTTCACTTTTGAAAAAGTTAAACCAGTGTTATTATTTTATTTAGATTCATACCTATGTTTAGTCTTATTTGTGCTTTTTAACTTTTTCTGACAAGCCAGACATATATAGTATACACTGATGCGATTGAGGTAAGGTGTATGACCATAATATACTTTATATATTAAATTTATATTATGGTGTACTTGATCAAATTCTTAACTAAATGACTTTTAGAGATCTCCGAAGATCAGGAGTAAAGCAATAACATAAATGTCATATTTATATCTGACAAGTGATTATATTTTCTAGCACTTATATATATATAGGGAAGTCTCCCAGATCCAGGTATTCCTATTTTAGATCTAACTATTCTTAAGGCTCTGTTTAGGATTCCGTGTTTATAATAATTCTAATATACCACCCTTTTTATTTTATTTTCACGTCATTACAAATCAGTGACAATAGGTAATATGGTAATTGCTAGGGCTCGAAAGTTGTAGCAAATGCATGTTTTTTTTTGTTCATCCTAGAACATCCAAAGTATTAAGTAAGATACAATCATGTTTCACCCTTCTCTAATGTCATACATGAAATTTAATTTTGCTATTTTTTGCATATTTACAGTTTTTATTGCTATTTTTCCAATTTAGTGTTTTTAGTACTATTTTTGAGTATATTTTCACATAATAAATGAAATATTAGCATTTTGTTGAAAATAATGATTTATTTAGTTATATTTTTAAAATATTTGAATTCTTGGAAATTTGTGTATTTTTTTACTGTAAATTATAAAATTGTAAAATTACATTAATTTTTTTTTCTAATACATTTATAATTTTTTCAAGTTAAATGCATATTTTTTTGATTTTTGTAACCGTGAAAGTATCATTGCTTTGCAATACCTACTTATTTTTTGTATTTAAATACATAATTAAATAAAAAACGATATATTATATACCTAAAAAGATAGATCAATTATTAATAATTTAATTATGTAATATTGTTATGTGTGACTAAGTCTAAAATAGATAATAAAAAATGTTATGGTTTAAAAATCATTTAATACAACTTTTAATAAAAATCAGATAAATATAGGCTTACAGACATACTTGTTATAACTGTGTATAAATTTAAGAAGGTAATACATAATATATATTTTGTATTTAAATTTAATTTCATATTTTTCAAATAAATAATATAATAAATCACAAACATAAATGTTAGTAATTTAATGTAAAATATTCACAAGATAACTATATACTTAATAAATATCTACAAATACTATTAATAAAAATAAAATTTTAACAATCAAGATTATAATTCTATTCAGTTTAAAAAATATTATAGCATAAGTACATCTATCACAAAAATAATCAAAAAGTACTTTATGTTAAAAAAATATGTATGTTATGATATGATTCCAAAAAAATAATATTACTGATATGAGTGATATTAGTAACCCATTATTATGTATGATAAACAAAATATATATATATATAATTAAAATAATATTTTGTATTTGAAAACGATGTTAACTTTTATATTTAAAGATTCAATTATGTTTTGGATAACAGATCTCATCAAGAAGTAGAGCCAGTAAAACGACAAAATCACCGCCCAACAGACGAGAGCAAACCGTGAAGTTGCACAGTTAAACAGATCAACAAAATGTGACGATGATGATTGATGTATCGGGGGCGTGTATCTAATGAGCTATTTGCAATTTTTTCAAACTCTTGCAGTTGTTGACGAACATGGCCGAATCATTATTTTCCTTGAAGAAACAGATGTTCATACTCGGAACGCCGTTTATCAGGTCGATGCCGAAGAAGACGATATCGATCGAATAAGCGGAAAACTTGATTAGCAGAGACGCGTCGGGCTCGGGCTGAACGAATTTGTGATTGGTGCAGTCATACTGCGGATTGATTTTTCCTACGATCTGCAAGCACATTTCTACGTCCAGCACGCTGCACGGCAGATTCAATGTAAACCCTTTGACTGACGGTCCAGCGCCACCAGTCTCGTTAACCACCATTTCGTTGTTGAACATATTTTCCGGGCGAGACATGTACTCCTGGTACTCGGCCATCAAAGTAACCGTGTGCTTGCCAACCTCTTCGATGGCCCACAGCACGTACTGGTCCATGGAGCAACTCTCGAGCCCGTACATGGCGCAAAACTGCCTGTCCAACTCCGAAGCACGGTTCTCGCCGAGCCTGGTGAGTTCGGCCATGCAACTGTCGCGCAATTCGGACAGCTTTTTAGCCTCCAGCAGAACGTGGTCCACGCAATACTTGAAAAGCGATCGACGGTTTAGTCCATTCGCCATGTCTTCGGGTAGACTTTCCAACAACTTCACCATCCGTTGACCACGCAACACAAACTTCACGCTCTCTTTCTCTGCAATGTTGTCCACCAAGTGCCACAACAGGTTATCGACGTCCAGTTTAGCCGTTTGTTTCTGATAGATGTCAAATACACGTTGAATCATTTGCCAAGCAAACAACAAATTATGCACAGTGAGGTTATTTCCCAGAAACATTGTGATTCGTTCCACAAACACGATTAAATGGTGTTTGAAAAAGTAAACACTGCAGTTCCAGATTTGTTGAGCAAAACAGTAAGGAATTTTCTCTAGGGTTTTGTAAATCGGCATCCACGCAGCTTGTAGAGGCAGTATCTAAAGAAATGTCAATAAACATGCAATTAGACACATTACAATATTCATTTGAAAATAGACTATAAAATCTATGTCAGTAATTTAAGGTGGGTAAGTCAATAAAAAAAAATAAATAACTTGAATTAGTTAAAATTAGTCAATGAAATTTTAAACACAAATTCAACTTATATCATGTAAAATAAAAAACAAAATATAGCTAAATTACATTTTAGATAAAACATACTTTTTAAAATTACAGCAGAACTAAATTATAAAAACAAACTTTAGAATTTAAAAAATTTCATTTTAAATTTAATACTATTAATATATGAAAATAAAGATTTAATAATTAAGATATACTTTTAGCAATACTATATTTTGTATTAAACCAAACAGTTGGAAATAGAATAAAACTAGACAATAAAAGAACTAATCAATGCAAGAAATAATGAATTATGCATGAGAAAAAATTGTTAAATAGTCTTGGACACACAAGCATACTAGGTAATGAAAAAGTAGCATAAGAAGCATACTCAAACTATAATTAACAGTTTCTAAAAATCATATCTTAATTCGACATTTAACCCAAATTAAATACTTCATACAAATAATATCAAACTTACTAGTTAAGGCAACAAAAAAACTCGGAGAAATAAAAAATGCATTTTATGATTGACCTAACCAAGTTTAAATAGAAGTGAAAAACTGTAGTTAAACATCTTTGATTAGACCTTGTAAAGGATATGTGATATTAACTTAACAGTAAAAAATAATTGAACAGAATGCCACCAAAAGGTTATTTTTACATATAGAAGACCTCAGAAAATACATAATTCAATTCAATATAGACCCATTAGCCACTAGGTTCTAGTATAGAAAACACCACAAATATGACTAACTATTTTAAAAACATAGTTTTAAATCAAATTCAATATAGAACAAAAAAGTTATGTATAATAATGTAATCATTTTAAAATTGTAAGATTGTTACTATTATTGTAAAACTTTAAAACTAATAACTTTTGAAAATTAATAAAATAAATTATTTGTAGCCTTAAAAGAATTTTATATATATATTACTACAATTTATAATTAATGAAAATCATCAGTTTAACTTATTTATAAGTTAAGTCTAGATTTGTATGCTTTAAGACATTTTTTGTTATGCATTTTCCACCATATAAATTGTTAGTCATTTTTTACTCCCATTAAACTGCATACTCTTAGTAATAATATAAAAATATATACATATTAATTTAATAGAAGACATAGTTTTTACCTTTAAAATTTCTTTAATATCAATCGAAGACATTAATATTCCTGTGGCCATGAATAAATCCAAAGATAGATATAACACATTTATCGGTGTTATTTCAAAATTATTATTGATGGTATTTAAGGTAAAACGGAAGACTTCCAATGTACACTGAGTAATATAAGCACTTCTTCGAAAAATATTCAGAGTTCTTCCTGTGGTTTGAACTTCTGAAGTTACTGTAGCATATGCATGAAATGGTCCCGCTATAGAACCAACTGCAGCAATCGCAACATTAATCCATGCTTGACTGCATTGTGTGGCTGATATTTCATTTTCATATTTGTATATGTTTATTAGTTGATTAATTTCTCTACCACCTTGATACATTGAGGAAATTGTTAATATTCCATAGGTTGTAAGTGTAATAGGCATTGCTAATGGAAATATTAAACCAGCCCCCAATGTAATACAGCCAACCCAATTTAAAAAATGTGCAGCCAAATCAGTTGTTTTTAAAATTTTTTCGATTTGTTTGGAAGCTGGCGTTATATTTTGATACAACGATTTTGATGCATCATAGAACCCTGAAATTGGGTAGAACATATATCCTTCAGGAAGATTATTATTATTTAAATATTCTTCCCAGTCAGAGTATGTTCTATTCCGTTCAAAATCAATAAAAATACATTTACTTTTGATTGATTTTAATCTGAGTATTGTCCATTTGTGTATATCTTCATCAGGAAAATTTTGGCAGACATTACACTTTGTTTTGCAAATACTATGTGTTATAGTTACACCCACTTTAATATTATTACAAGAATCAAGTTCAATTAATTCCTCTACTTTTTTGGTCATATTTAAAATTTTCTTTTGGATTTCATTTCCATATAATATAAATAATTTATCTGCATTGTTAATATCACTACAACTTTTTAATTCAATTTTATCACGAGATGGGTAATCATAATACAAGCATGCCATAAACAATTTTAGTTCATTCTTCTGTATGGTTAACCATTCTGGTCGAGCATTAAAATAAGAATATTGTAATTCTTCTAAATGCTTAATTAACAAACGTCCTCTCTAAAAAAAAAAAAACAATTGGCTATTTAATAATTTGTGGATACATTTTCTTAATCAAATAAATTTAAAAGTGTTGCAAATGAAAAAAGTAGTTTTGAAATAATTAAAAAATTAATAATATTAATGTAGGCTTAAGTAATATATTTTAAAATGTGTAAAGTATAAGTAATAAATAATAATAAATTAAGTTTGTTTGTCTTTTTTTTTTAATGAAATTAAACTCAAGTTAGCTATTTTACAATAAATATATTACATAGAAATAGTAGAATACAATGATAGCTAAAAAATATCAAACAGAAAATTTAAAAATTTACTTTTAATTATTAACTAAATAAACAAAATACAAATATGAATAAATAAGAAAATATTGAAAGAGTTATATAAATTTATTTTTGTACTTACTTTAAGTTTTTCTTCAAAACTCTTGTCCATATTGAAAATCAATCAAATATTTTCATCTACTGCCAGTTATTTTCCTTAAAAATATGAACGATATTAACCTTAGTATTTAAAAATTTTACTAATATTTCAAAACTTTATTTTTGCATAAATCTAGTTTATCGGTCATGCTAATTTTTAATTTTTTTAAGACTTATGTAGTTAAGTATGCTGAAAATGATGGTGAAGTCAAAAATTTGCGGACGGACTTAGTTTCAGAATTATATCGATTTGAATTTAATTAATATATTTGTGTTATGTTAATAGCTTAATAAGCTTATGTTACTCAATAGTCATAGTGTAATGTATACTCGTAGTCTAATGGTACTGAGTGCCATGTAATGCGTAACAGGTCCCTTGGGTTCGACACTCAGTGAGCACTAATAACATTTTTGCACTTTTTCTAATTGTTTTTATGGTAACTGATACTAGTAATTATCCTGTAACCTACTTGAGATGGTGTTGCATAGCAAGTTGAGGGATATATTTTTGTCAAACAGGTCATAGGATAATTACTACTTGTTGTATCAGTTATCAAAAAAACGATTAAAAAAGTGAAAAAATTTTATTGGTGCTCACCAAAGTCAAACCAATGTCGTGCATTACATGGCCCTCGGTACCATTAGACTACGAATATACATTACATTACTGAGTAACAAATTAAGCTATTAACATAACACACATATATTAATTAAATTCAAATAGCTATAACTCTGAAACTAAGTCCGTCCACAAAATTCTGACTTCGCCATCATTTTCAGCATACTTAACTACATAGGTCTTAAAAAAAAAAAAATTAAAAATTAGCGTGGCCACTAAACTAGATTTGTTCCTTTATTTTTATTCAAGTTATATTATACATTTTAGAGAAAGTAATTTTATTTATATTTTATTTAATGTTCATATTCATATTTTACTAATAAACATTTTAATAGTAAAATACAGTTTTTGACAAAAATTAATTCAACCTATTATAATACTAATAGTAAAATAAATTACTTAAATAGCAATATCAATAAAAATATCACAATATTCTTAGTAATATAGACAAATAGACCATCTATATATAGAATCGTTTTTCATATGTAAAACAGATTTATCATTGATTTTAAACTTCAAAAAATACATTACTTAACACATCAATGTATTTTCACTGGGAAATAGTGCAATATCACAGTTTTTACTTTCTGGTGTTTATTTTTATATAATAATAACTATAAAACAGCTTATGATAGCTAATAAATATTTTTAAATAATAAAACTATTAATTATTTATATAGCTAGTGTCATAATTAACTTACAAATTACAACCACACCCAATTTTTTTTTTCTTTGTTTGTTTTATTATGAAGTATTCCTGACAAGATCATCTAACTTATTGTCAATTGATATTTGTTAATATTAATTCATATTTCACAATTTTAACAGTTTAACAAATGATAATGAATAATTAATTATTTACAACAAATTATAAGGATTTATAACAATAATTAATATATTATAATTACAATCGTAGCTGATAGTTTACTAAAGTTCACAAATAACTAATAAGAAAAATAATGAAAATATTGAAAACGTGTATTATGTGATAAATGATAATTTAACCACGGATGTTTATCACATCTGTGATAATAACCAGGCTCTTGCTATCATCAGCTGGGCCTGGGCGGCTACGGTCGCAAAAATTATTGTTATCAAATTAAAACAATTTAATAATAAATATTAAATACAGTAGACGCCGCTTATAAGACTCACTTTGGGACCAGCACAAAGTGAGTCTTATAACCGAATGAATCTTATAGGCGAAGTGGAAAAAAAAAATTAATTACGTATTTATAAATTTTATTTTACTACATATTTTGCTTTGATTTTAATACATTAACACATATTACATATTACATACTTTATTATTGAATAAATTTAATAATCCCGATAAAAAAAAAACTAAAATTATAATTGTTATAATTTTATTATCGTTGCGATAAATGTGAACTTTTATCTGCGATAAAAATACGTTATAAGATACCAACAGAAACTAGAAATAATCAACACGAATATTATTTCATTTTTCAAAACCAATTTATTTCTAAATTATAACCAAAAAATTTTATTTTCTACTATTTATTTTACGAAATTTGAGTCTTATAACCGAAGTGTTGAGTCTTAAAACCGATTTTTTTTTAATGTATTTGGATACGTCCGGACCGTTCCAGACGATTTTGAGTCTAATAAGCGACTGAACCTTATATCCGTGAGGCTTGTAAGCGGCGTCTACTGTATATTAATATTATTATTATTATTATTATTTTTATTATCGTGATTTTTTGACTTTTTGCCGAATTTTTAGTTTTCCGATCTTTTTCCACCGCTATCGGTTCGTATTCGCATTCTACGCATTGTTTAAAATACTTCTGTGTGCCGTTCACAATTTTCTTCATGTGATTACGAACCGTGTACGAGATATGTATTCTTAAATTTATTTGCCTTTGACGTGTATATTAAACAATTAATCTGTTTTAGACTTATTCGTGAACATTAGTCGTATCTAGATCTTTGACGTCAATGAAAGAACCATTGTAGTACATATTTCATGATTTCCTCTCATGTCGTTCATTAAATTTTAAATAATATTTCTGAAAGTGTTGCAGGTAACCGTAGAGCAGTGACATCTGTTTCAACGCACAATATTCATTTTTCATTTATACTGCTGTTTTTGATTCAATAAATCAAATTATTTCTTTGTATTTATATATTGTTTTGTTCTTGGTAGCTTAACCTTTAGACACATCTTCAACCATGGTTCGTGCTTATCAGCATAATAGTGTTTCTGTCGCAGAGTACTGTCTACGTATACTCAACAGTATATCATATAATATAATACATTTATATGTATAAAAAATAAATGCAGATAATAATTTTTTTTCTTTTATTTATATTTACAATCTGTATTCAATGTGATACAATAAGTGAATTGGTTGTCACTTGTCTTATTTACTAGGTGTATTGACGTAATCAGTGGTGTAGGTATTGGTAAATAAATGTATGGGTATACGCACTTAAAATAATAATAATATTGTTATGGGCTACGAGATATGTTAATAATATAATATGTAATATTGCTAGAAGTATTAGCAATATATATGTATATGATATATATATATATGTAGCCTAAAAACTATAATATATACGAGGTAGTAGATTCATATTTCTATGAATCTTTTTTTTAAAAAGCATCATAATAAATATATCAAAATAGCAGTAGTGTGACGAGATCGTTTAAATATATTGTGTTAATTGCATTTTCACGAATTGCCAATTAAGAACAGATGACATCCTGGAGATTGTTGTTTTCAAGTATGAAAACAATTCTAAGAATTAATATGAATTGGAAGGTTGTCGACTACAATAACAAGAGACTTCTTTGTATATAAGGGAGTCCAGAGACCAACAAAGGCAGATGTACCAGAGCCACGAAGACCTGAGCAACTTCACAACACTCAGCCACTTTTTGTATCAGTTACATGAACTTTATTTATACGTAATAAAACATTATTGTTCTTAAGAGTTGTAAATTTCATTTAAATAACACCCTGGATCTGGATCTGATATTGGCACGCAACAATATAATAGTATTTGACAAGCTTTATCTTTTATTACAAAAACTCATTCTTCTCGTCATATACATGTATCAACACATAAGAAACTTATGGCTAGCACACCTTTGGAATTTAATTTTGGTAATTCATTTTTTATAGTTCATAAATGTATTTACTTTATTCAACAAATATTTAAACGACTGTGAATTTTTTTTATGTTAAACTAAAATTGCGATTTTAGTGATGAACAGGATGTAAACAGGTAGATTTGGTTTGAATGTGAGTAGTATTCTGACAGTTTGAAATTCAAAGGAATATCCGCTATGGACGCATACATTTTAAACTTCTATAATATTGATGCTAATATTTAATATTTGCACTAAAAAGTATACAATCCCGGCAGTTTCCGAATTTCGAACTTCATACACCTTCACAATGCTAAATTATGCGTGTATATGTATGTTATTTTGATTTTTTCTAGTGATAACTGATCAATTATAACTCAAAGACTTGATTCGACTTTAACCCTTTTCACGCACCAAATAGCATCAGACGTTCATAATTTTTTTTTTTGAGATATAAAAATTAACAATCCGTTGTAAGCGGATTGCCCAGCCAGTTACTGATTTTCACCAAATAATGAATGATAGCTAGGCACTCCATTACTGTTATCTTAATGTATTTATATACCTATGTATTTTACATGTACAAAACAGCGACGGTACAAGGTGTATTAGTATTACACCGGTGACCACTAGATACTTGAATTTGGCTTTCATAGATTTTTACGCATTCGAAACAACACCGCCAAAGTATAGAGCCATCAAATCAGTAGTAAAAACATTATTCTCATTCGCTACGTCACAAGTCTATATTTTTAACTTCGAAATTTTTTTAACAGAGTTTTTCTTTGAGTCCCGTCTCCGACCTAGGGTATTTACTTAAAATGATTTTCACCAGCCTCTAAATATTATTATATTATATAAATTAGTTAGGTATGTAAACGTTGTATAGAGTATACACGATAAGGTAAATATCTGGTGATTAGTGGTATTGTGATATAAAGGTACATTTCGTGTTACTATATTATGTTCGCCACGGCACATCATATTAGTTCTTGAGCATTGATTAGTTGTATTTTTATCAACATTTTATACTAAATAATAATTTTTAAATTTTGTCGTGGTACATTTATAATATGTAGGTTGGTACCTACATTTTATTATAAAAGATTATTGTTTAGATTTTACGTCTTTAGTTAGTTTTTAATACTTAAAATATGATGTGTAGGTATATAAACTTAGGTACTTCATATTTGTTTTTCTTTTTGTTAATAGTTATTTATTAATACTATTTGACACTATTGTATCTTCCCATTTGAAGTTATCAATTACTTTTGTTCCTCACTAAAAGTTAATGTTTTATATATAAATTATACTTATTTTTTACTGCCTATTTTACAAAAAATATTATTTAAAAAGGTTTATTTTAGTTGAAGAATTAAATATCTGTACAGAATAATGGGCATTCTTAAAAGAATACATAAAATATAAGTAGGTAGTGCCTAATTATATTCTTTGAAGTGTACATATTAGTAAAATTTACTTCCCTATTAAATAATACTGCTACATATAAGTAAATTTGGTTTTTATTGTTATATAATAAATTATTTTAGAATGTAAATAATAGTACCAAGGGTATCAGCTACGAATCCACGTTATAATGTCATGGTAATTATGTCGCTGCAAAAATGTTATGAACACAAAAATATCACGATGTTAAAAATATAAAAAATACATTTTAATTTATAATATATCTATGTATAGTATAATTTTATTTTTATTTTTATTTTAATCTTACGAAGTATCTACACAATAATACTTAATAAATTAAATTAAAATAGGTAATGAAAAATAACAATTAAATATATTGTTATAAACAAAACAATAAATTATATTTTTATATTAATTGATATTGAAAGTTATACGAAATTCTACGCAGATAGTCGTTAATTGATCGATTTCCATAATCATCACTAGAGCAAGGACTTTCATGCATTCGCATATTTTTTTCTGATTTACTTTTTCGTATGCAGAGTAAGAACACAATACATTTCAAAACGTTTGTGATCAAAATCTCAAAGTTTTTAGTGCATATTTTGAAGGTTTTTCGAAAATCATGTTTTTTAGTGAATATTTTTCAACAAATTATTATATTTAACTGTTTCTATATATTCTCATTAAGATGAAAGAGACTCATTTTATCACAGTTGCGTATCTATGGATTAAAGTGATATCAAATCCAGTAAAAACTTATAGAGAGATAATATAAAATTATTAACATTAAATATTTAAAAAATATACATAATTTTTAGAGCTATAAATTTTAGTGTATTAATTTTTTTGAGGGCATATTAACTGCATATTTTAAATTTTTTGATGCATAAGTGCATATTTGATAATTTTTTAGTGCATGAAAGTCCTTGTTCTAATCATCACATGTGGCTTTAAGTAGAATTGTAGAATTTTTATATTTTTTCTTTGTTGGCGGTTTGATGTCAGTAATAGTTTACTGTTCAACTTTTAAACGGTTTAAGGTTTTTTCCTTTTTCAGTGAATTGATGAAAAATCCAGATAGAAGGATGATAAGAACTTAATATTGAACTAAATGTTAACTAGAAATATATACTCTGAACTTTACTTTCGTAGGTATATGTTATTATATTATTTCCAGCTATGGTACTTTAATCTATTCTAATTTAATGTATTCCTAATAATGAAAACCGGAACTACAAACCACGTCGGTGACTACGATGATACATTACTATCTGCGACATTTTGACGCTACACCGTCAAATGTCTATATTTTTATATCGCGTCTTTATCCGTGGTGGCGTGGTGGCGGCTGTGACAGTGTAGACCGGTTGCTGCAGTATCTATACTTTGTAGTTTGTACTGGCGATCGTTGCATACCGTGTCACACTAAATGCTGAATTGTGGTGGGCAAGGGTATAATCTCTATTAGTTCCAAAACTATTTGTTATAAGTAGGAAACGGATTTAAATGTAAATTGCATTTTTTTCTAAATATCCAAAAACATTGCTTTCCAAGCACAGTGTTCATTCCATACATCAAGAAATTAAGAAATGTTACCTACTTAAATTTTACATTTTTAAGATTTTTTTGCTTTTTAGAAAATTTTTTGACATTTATATGATTTTAAGTTATTTTTATATAGTAATGGATAAAATTCGATAAAGATTGAGTTAATATTCATTCCAAAAGAATAAAATTAAATATTATTTATCATATATGTCATACTTCTATTTTTTGTTATTTATTACCTATGTTTTTAGTTAATAACGATCAGATAAATGCGACGCCAGAAAAAATATTGTTGACAAGTATAGACACTTAGGTTTGTAGCTATGTACATACATACATGCAATTGGATAAAAATAAGATAATCTATTTACCTAAATCCTTATTTCGTATTGAACCATTGATTTTAATCATTACTTTCATGAGTTTAGAATCGTGCGTGTAGTCTCATCGTTAACGTTTTCAAGTGATTATTGTAGATTTGTTTCACAAAGTTAACTATTTTTAAAGAAATTTTCATATTAAATTATTAAAAATAATTTTAAAAGCATTTTTTTTTTTTGGTGTATTTGAAAAAATATTGTTATGAATGCATTAAATCGTAATTTTTTAAGGCATTTTTCTTGTTTTTTAGAGCACTTAAATCTGTTCCCTAGTTATAAGTAACTTAAAATTTTTTGTGTTCTAATAATGGTAAAATAATAATATAAGTTTCTTTAAGTTTAAATTTTAAGGACAATTAAATGTGATCGAGGGAAAATGGTTTTGAATTGCAAAAAATCCATTTTCCCGAGTGAAAAAGCCAGTCTAGGTTCAAGGTTTGGCTAACTCATCATGTAAAATTATTCTAAACAAAAAACAGTGTAAATAATAAACTTAATAAGATGTATTGAATATGTTAATCAGTTTCAATTATGTATTATATCTCATTAGAATTAGCCGAGAACCATGGACTAGAGTGCATTGTAATTTATTTGACCATTTAAAAATAAATACTGTTTGGTCATAATGGACGTAGTTACAAAATTATAAGAAGTAATTTTAGTAAATTATAATATAGATATTTTCATAAAATCATTTTCAGAAACGATAGCATGATTTTACATCAATAAATTATATCAAATAGTTCATAGTACTGAATGTTTTATAGATTTTAATTATCAATCGTATTGCAGATTCAGCCAATATTAGCACAATTTACTTACAATTAACATAAATCATAAAACTCTAAGCCATTATGGCACACTTGTATGTGTACGTCTATATTTACTGCATTCTATAACGGCTATAATACACGTGTAGTCTAGATACAGACATCATAGCTTAAGAAACACTGAATTTTAAGTGAATAATGAGTGTAAATTGTTTCTAGAGAAAACCTGTAACGTTGTCTAGTTATTTTCAAAAACAACAGTTTTGATAGTATAGTAATATGTTTTCCATGAAAATACCCATCTCAGTTAAATTTTGACTATGATTGTTAAAAAAATATTATAAAATAGTTTGGTAAACAATTAATTTAGTCCTACTTAATTATCTTTAATTTCTTAAACTCATAATAAGTATAATAATTATCGATAAAACAACTACCGAAGACGTTTAGTAATATGTACTGTAATCAAATAAAAAAAATTGAAACTAAAGTATCTATCCTAATTTATTTCAGTTTTTAAATTCATACTACGTATATTTATTAAGAATGACACCATTGGCACCGCTTTATGGGGACTGTATTGTATTCACAAGGTTTGGCATACATGCAGCATCATTTATTAAAAAAATATCTAAGATGAAACATATTATAATAATTAATAACATACTACACTCCGTTGTCTCTATCCAACAAGAGATTGTAACTCGCTCACGCGTCCTAATTCCAAATGAACTAGTGTCACTGTCTCGTGGTCCAAGTTCTCCCTCAAAAATCAATAAAATGTCGGTGGAAATGCGTGAACAAATACGAGTTTTGGTTGCTACTGAGTTGTATTCCCTTGTTGGATGGAGTACAGAAGTGAGGTGAATGGGAAAAGCACCCCACTATATCCGCCCTAACTATGTTTAAATAATGAAATGTAGACGGGAGGTGTCTCGCTACAACAACCCTAACAAAAACTAATATGAACAGATATATATATAAATAGTCAACATTTCAAAGACGTTTTGTCACCGTAATCGGTTTCCTAAGACTACTCACATGATAAAACTCTATCACTATTATCGATGGTAGTAACAAGTACAATTGATGCAATTTTTATTCGTCTCACTATCATATAATTTATGCACTGTTGTTACCTCTATATATTCACCTGGTCTATAGAACTATAGCCATATAATATTAAAAATATTGTTATATTTCATTATGTCACCAACTCCACACTTAATGCTGGTAAACGTTGAAAAATAAATATTTACATCCATTTTGTTATGACTTATGAGTAAATAATTGAAGTCCTAAATCCATGATATTATCAGACATCAGTATACCTAGAATACAGCTAATGGCATATAATGGCATATATAATAGAGAAGTCATGTACGCTGTGCGCAGTTGTAAAAATATTATAAAAATCAATAGTATGTACTTGAATTCGTATTTTTGTAGTATTATTTGGTTCGTTCGTTGTTAATTTTTGATAAGGAGGACTAGGAGGGTAGAAACAATGGTGAGGGTGAATAGCAGGAATCCTGCTACAAAATATTCCTTTAATGTTCCTCAAATTGGTAGACAGCGAAAGTCGTGCAGCGCTATCTAGTTGGTAAAATATAACTATTCGACTTTTTATTTTTTCAATATAATTCGTAACTGTATATTGTAAATGTGTGAAGAAAATTTTACTCTATAAAAATTTCTGAATATTTTTGCTTACCCAGGTAGCGCTAGATGTCTACGATTTATGCAAATCATCCCACCACTCTCTCATCAAGACTATGTTGCCTAACACTCGTCGTTAGGTTGGTTTTAGAAATATTCTGTATTCTAAACTAATTGTTTTCTAATATTATTTTCATACTCCTTTATTATTCGTAATCACTTTGAATTTATTTTATATTTATATTGATTGTTGTTTATTGAGTGTCGATATTATCCTTTATTAACGTGTACAGTGTACACGACGACGACGACAATAATAATATTGTTATATAATATTTTATTAATTTTACAATTCGGGATCTCTAATACTTGTTTACGTTTTAAATATTAACCGGACGGAGATTCTTTTCGTTGTTTTGTGTCTGATGTCAATATTATGTCCGATTCAAATGATAGCAGGTAAGTGATATTGCTAATAGACATTGGATTGGTATTTAGACAATTTTTGTCGACTGAAAATTACTAATCGTCTAAATTGTATATTTCTTACATGGTGGGAGAATTACTCTTCCCTGGAATCCCTTTGTAGTGGCGAGTGTGTTCTAAAGACTTATTTTTTATATTAATTTTTGATAGTTAATATTTCATTTTTGATCCTGGTTAAATACATAATTAAAAATAAACATTAATTTTTTTAACTCTTGTGAATATTGATGTTGGAATTTACTTTAAATACTCAATTACTTAAAAAATTTTTCATCAAATTCTAAGTTCTCTGCTCAACTTTATGAATCCAATTTATTCAGCTGTTACAATTTTTATAAACATTAATTTTGTAATTTTAACTTTGTATTTTAAAAATAATAATTTTATTCCCTATAATAAAATATTATGTTTATAATATATTATATTATATTAATTTATTTATTTTCGACAATAAAAATTATTAGCTGCAGTGTTTTTTTTTTTTGTTATGATAAATTTTTGAAATACACGTTCTCATATTATGTATGTTAGTGTTTCGTCATTTAGAAACATAGGAATCCACCATATAAGATCTAGCAACGTTATGCGTTGTTTGGTCATAACTCATAACAGTGGTCATTACTGCTGTGAAATATAATATCTCATGCTTTTTAACATTTATTATTTAAGAATATTATCAAATTATTTACTATTTTAATAATTTTTATTAAATATACTAAATATATTAAATACTTGCTGAATGCTGCCTTTATTTTATAATATACTGCAATTAATATTCCCTGCTTTAACCTTTTGTAATTGTTATCACACATTTAATACTAATGGATATTAAAAAAAATAAAAATATTTAATACTGATACTGTGTTTCTATATAATTAAATAATAAAGTACACTAATTTATTATAAAGTAGGTAAATAAAAAATGACTTTGACTTTTTCCAATTAATTTTAATCCATCAATAGAGGTCTTAAATCCAAAATTAGGTGTTTTTTGAAGTTATATCTATTTTAAATTTAATAAATCTAATATTATAAAATTAATGGTAGAACATTTAAGAATTGCGTAGGCATTGAGTACTTTTGGATATTGAACTGTTTTGAAAAACTGATCAAAAATAAATGTCTAGGAAGTCTCTTTTAAAAAAAAGTTACTTTACTTCACCTACAAGAAAAAAAAATGCTTTTAAGTTTGAGCCAAAATGGCCTACCTGTAAACATACCTTCCTATGTTTAGTGGTATTTACGTTTATAAAGGTTTAATTTGTTAATATTATTACTAAAATTTTTAATTTCTGTTTTAATTTATGCTGAAATTATTATTATGTTAATTATCATTTTTTAAATTACTCATCAAATATTAATTTGCAATTATTTTTAATTCAACTCAAATTTTTATTCTAGAACAAGTTCAGAAGAAAATGAATCTCATCCAGAACCTATTTCACTTTTAAGAAGGAATGTTATTTGTAAGTACAAAATATATTTACTCTAATATTTTTTCAACATAAAATTATTTTATGCATCTAAACTCCATAAAAATATAAAATTATTCATATTTCTGGTTAAATTTAGCCACAGAACTTCAAATAAATACATACTACAACCAAAGTCCACAAGTACTCTATCAGGTAATTTAAATTTCATTGTTTATAATTAAAAACAGTAAAAATTAATTAAAAAATGGTAAAATATAATGTTATAAGCTTAAAATGTTTTTAAAAATTAATAGCTACCTTTCTTTTTTATTATATATAATAAAAATCAACTAATAGGTAAAAAAAAGAACTATATTGATTTTTCAGTTATTTTGTGGTAGCTTAGTATTTGTAAATTATAATTATTATACTTATGTCACTTTAAAAGTCACTCAAAAAAACTAATTCCTTCACTATTCCATTCACCATAGTCAGTTAATGTATAACTATATTACAGTTGATGAGCTCTAAATTAAGAATAACAAATCTTTAATCAACTTCTTCTAGTTATCTTACTAAGTTATCTTTTTGAAACAGCATGAATATATTCAAATAGATTGAATAATTTTGGAAATTATGCTGATTATATTTTTTTTTCTGTCTTAAACTGTTGTCATTCAAAAAGTATTTGAAGTGAACATTTTTATAATTAAATTCTTACATTTTAAATGTAAATAATTTTTGTTTTTACTTGATTACGTTTTGCACGACAGCATAGAAATTTAGTCAATGTGTTATTGGTTTACTATATATATATATATAAATATGTAGTTGTACAAATTTTTAATTTTATAAAAAGACTTTAAAATTTTTTACTTTTACACTTTTTGAGACATACTACATTAAGGTATTAAATTATTTCAATATATTTTAACATCCTATATTCTATGCTATTATTTTCTAAGATTTTACATGTATTTTAGTCGCCTTACAAAGTTATCATTTATTATTTTTACCTTCAATGCCATGCTACTTTCTATCATAAACTAAGATATATACTTATGCTTCTTATTATAAACATGTTTACTGTGTACAATGTCAATGGTTGTAATTTAACATCATTCACAATATTTACTGAATGATTGCAATTATTAGTGTTATGTATCTTTGTATTCAATGTAATGTAATTATTTGGTTTACACTACGATAAAGTATAAGTTTTTTGATCCTATAATTTTAATTTTCCATGTATGTGCAAGTTTTATATCAATATTTAAATTACTTAGTTTCCAAGATTTTAGCATAATATTTTTCGGCATACCTATACTTTACAAGTATATACAGTGAATATGTTAGTTTAATATAATTACCTATATTGAGTAGCCACGTATCATATTTAATCTAAAAAAACAATTAATTTGATTTTAAGAAATTCTAAAATTAACATATTAGTATTGTATAATACTATAACTTATTGTGTGTATTTTAGTATTTAGGAAATGATCTCCATAAACTTGCTGGATCCATAAATTATAAATCAGGTGTTGTTGTTAATACAGTACCACTTGCTTTTATGAAATTGAATTTGATGCCTGGAGAAATTGCGCCAATTATAGCTAATTCTTCAGATATCAAATTTATATTGCAATATGCCAACCACCGTAATCGTCCATTTGGAATTTGCCACAAAATGTAAACCATGTTATATAATTAGTTAAATATTATAATTACTCAAACTAATAATAAAATATCAATATTTGTTATTAGTAATGAAAATATGCGTACATATGGTGTACTAGCTATGATTTATGACCATTCTTTAGCCAAGGAATCTACTGAACTGGACTCATATGAACTTAAAATTAGAGGCTTACAGCTATTTGAAATTTTACATGTCAAATCATTTCCTGATAAGTAACTAATAATTGTTAATTATTTAAAAAATATTTAATTGCATAAGTTATGTAGTGTGTTTTCAGACCACAGTTGATGGTACTATGAAATATTTTTCTGTAGAGATATATATTTTATTGGAGATATTTAAATAGTGTAATAAATACATAAAAATATACATTATTTACTAAATTTAGTTCTTAAATTATGTTACCTGTTAATAGCAACCAAAACAGTTAACTAAAAATTATTTTATTTTTAGTTAAAGGACAATGTTAGTACATGATCTAGTAAAAAATTTTATATTTGAAAAACATTTTAAGGCTGAAATTAATAAAACAAAGAAAAAAATTAGCTTTTCTAAGACATTAAAATTATTAATTTTCAGTTATTTAATGATTATTTGATAATATATTAAAAAAATTATTTTATTTATGTACTTTAATATATTTATACTTTGGTCTGAAAACTGACTTGCACATAACACAATTTTATAAATAGGTTGAGGAGAAGTACGAAGGAGCTTATTTTTATTTGGATTGCTTTAATTATAAATATTAAATGAAGAGTATTTAAAATGTTCTTTTTTTTTTTTAGTGATAATCAAACACTTGCTTTGGCTCGAATCAAAATCATACCAAATTTTATAATAAATCATCCATATAATGAACTGTGCTTACGTCCAAAGAAACATAATTTGAGTCGTAGTGAATTGTAATAAATTTACATACTATTAAACAAATTCTGAATTACGTCAAATTAACATAATTATATTTACTGTGTATTTGTTTTTGTTAGATTTCGTAATAAAAACATATGGCAAAATCAGTGGCCATCTTGGGTTTATAAGCAATTTGATGTACATGAATTGGCATCTCGCATTTTCAAAAAAATTAAGATATTATGTAAGGCTTAATTATTGAATAATTTGTTTTTATCTTAAAATCCATTTACATAATATTTGTTGCATCTCTTAAATTAAATTTTAGATTTTAAAATAATTAATTATGTTTAAAAAGTAAATAATGCATATCGTATCATTTTGTATATAAATTATATCGAGACATTTCATGCACTATATTGAATAAAAAAAAATATTTGGACAAATTTACAACTAATAATGAAACATTTTAATGTTTTATATTTCAAAGATAAGGATATAAAATTCTCAAATATTCCAAGTGTATTATCATTTCAAGTGACAAAACTTGGTATATTCACTCATGAAGAAGTAAACGAATTGCTTGGTATTGAGTCAACCAACCTACGACTTCAATATGGACTACAATATTTTAATAAAAATGTAAGAAATTTTTTGAATTAAAGCCACTACATTGACTTATTACTTTTTTATTCTAGCAATCAATGCAAAAATTAAAGTGTACTGGACTAAATTGTGATATTCCAATTACCAATATGAGTTATGTGCTTCCAATATCTCCTGAAGGACTAGAGGATAGTTATTTCGGTTCTTGGGGAGAATTTCATGCCATGGTTACAGTAACTGACTTAGAAAATGGTTTAAACGTGATAACAGTTAAAAATTTATCAGAATACTTCCCTGGGTATAATAAATGCATTTTTTTGTTTTTTTGTTATTAATCATTATTTGTTACTGTAATAATTAATTTTTATAGGTATAATAGTGCTATAATTTTTTGCCCAAACTGTACTGGCTATCTAGGCTGGAGTTTTTCAATTGATGATAATTCATCATCATTGCCAAAATCATTCTACGGATTAGCTATACAGGCCATAACAAGTATAAATGAATACATATTGCCCTTAGCTTCCTCATATGATGTAACACCACTAGAGGAAAACAGTGATGCAGAAATAATATTCGATGCCATCAATGATACAGACATCTTGGTAAGATTTTAAGAAATTTTTTTAAATTTTCTTTACATGAATAATGTAACTGATTCATAAATATATCTCATATTTGCTGCTATACAACTTTTAAATAAATGTTTGGTTTTGAAAAAAATAATTAAAGTACATTTTTAAATATTCTACATATTTAATAATTTTTAAATAGTTTTAAATTATTACTGAGTTAACAAATAGTACATAATATTATTATATATTAATTCAGAAAATAAATTTAAAAAATAGGAAAATAATAAAATTACAATTTTTTTATGAATAATATTATTTATCTATTGAACGTTTTTATATTGTTTTAATTTATATTTTTAACTAATTTTGCATGAAAGTATTTCTTACAAAAATTAGAAATTAGTAAATTATATGTATATTCAATAAAATTATTCATAATAACATGATTTATACTATATCAAAAAAAGTAATATTTTAACATAATTATATTTAATTACACAATAAGCAAACTATAACAAGCTATTCTCATCTATTTGATTGATGTATTTAACATTTATGTAAACAACAAAAATATTACTGAGTGATTAATTATTTAAAATATTTAATCTAAGTATATAATAATTATGTATAATACTGACAGATTAGTGGTATAGCCAAGATTTTCTATAAAGGAGCTCTTAATAATAATAAAAAAAAAATTTGATACAATTTAGACATTATTGTTATTATTAAAAATTACTTAATAGGTATACTATTCAGTGTTCCTCAAGCTTTTTTTAAAAAGTAAAAATGATTGCGGACCCATTTAAAGACAATAATAATAATTTAATTGATTTAATTTCTTAACTAAGTATAGATATTTTAATGGTATAAAATTAAATTAATAAAAAAAATAAATGGGTAAAATATATATAATTTGTATAATTATTAAAAAAAAAAAAAAGGTTAAATAATCATTGGTATTGTTTTTACGATACACAGTATGAATTACGATCCATATTGGATAGTTGAATTTTCAAATCTGATTTTACTTGTAATTGCGATTTTAATATTTATCTTAAGTATAAACATGAGTAGTAAAATATACATATATATAAGAATAATATATAATACCTATATAAAATTGTAACGTTTAATGCAAGTGGAGATAGTGAGATACATTTGTTATTTTTTATGGATATTGTTAACTCATTTATTAGACATAAATATATATCCATTTTAGATGCCGCATGCCAGTATACAATAATCTCGTGTCACCACCATTCGCACACCCAGAATGTCATCCATCTCTGTTTGCGGACACCTAATGTATATAATAGTAATTATTTTTAGTTCCTACCTGCTTTTCAACGGTCGATGACCGGCCTGTCTGCTATACTCCGTTCTATCTCTCCTGCCGTCCACGAGAAAACACCTCGCGGACATATACCATGTAAACAGATTTCAATTTTCATCATCGTGAAGTAGCACACTAGCTAAAATTTTCCCAGGCGATGCCAGGTGGAAAGAATGATGATACGAGTGATCATTTAACTCCGACGAGTGTATAGTCCCTTAGTTCTTAGTTAGTATGTATAGCATACTTAGTAATCATGTAAGTACGTATTGTAATTATTATCATTATAGTCGCTAGGACATAATGTATCTATCTGGTCAAAACACTTAATTACGTTATAAATATTATTAATTATTATCATAATCTCGGTTATCGTTGCAATGTGACGTAAGATACACGTGTGAATATGTGATTGTATTACTTACTATTATCATCACTATAATTATTATTTATTATGCATGTATATATTAACGATCTTTTAAGCCGATTGACAGGAGGCGTTTGTTTGTCTCGTCCATCAGTATTCATTTTTAGTTCTATCTTATACCATACTTTTAATCAAGTTTTACTGTTCACCAGAGCTTTCTTAGTCCTCACTTAAATTTAATATAGCTAATTTTCTTTATACCCATAGTTTTTGTGTTACTAGTTTTATTTCATTATTGTTCTTTTTTTTCCTGCTTATTATATAGGTGTTATTCTTATATTTATTTGTTATCAAATCCACTGCACTCCGACTCTTTAAGGTCTCGGTTCGTGTTTGACGACTTTGCTCAAGTGATATGTAACCACACTATTTTCGGTTCCTGGATCACCTCTTTTAAGGAATAATCAAATGATCACACGGTTATAAAAATTGAATAATGTAATTTAATTTAATATTGATATTATGTTACATGAGTATAAGACTACCTGACTACAAAAATAATAATGAACTGTAGAACTACTAATATCATTAAATAATTACAAACTTATAGCAAAATATTGCTAATAAATTATAATTGATAATAATCAGTGATTATTAATCACCGTACAGCGGATGGTTTTGGGAGATTCTTAACTGTCAAATTGTCTGGCAATTTTAATAATCAAATCAAATACTAATGTTTTAGCGCTTGAATCAAATGTTTAATATGATAACCAAACTTACTATGAGAAATTATTGTACCTACAGTAGAAGTTTGGCAGAAATAAAGTTAGCTGATGTACTCATTATAAAAATGGGGACTTTGAATATTTATAATTTGTTTATAGGTATACGAGTATAATAAAATTGCCTACCGTAAAAAAATTTGTTCGAAAGTATTTTTTAATTTTTTTTCCAATTTTTCATCAAGTTAAGGCCATTAGTTCAATTATGTATTATTAGGGTTTGGAAGTTGATGACCTTAAAAACATTAAAAAATGACCTAAAAGAATATGCAAATATAACTTAAAAATGACAATAATGTCCTAAAAAATTATAAATATTTGTTTAAAATTAGTAAAAATACATTTTTTTTTTTAATAAAAGAATAGTAATAATAATAAAAATTTCTCGAAATTATTACATTGTACTATTCAGTGGCGTATTTTGAATGTTTTTTTCTTAGGGGGGGGGGTGTCCAGATAATATAAGTTTAAACTTTTTGTTAATTGGTTACAATATATCTCTGTTATAAATCTACTACCACTAAGCTCATAATATACTCATAAAATATTGTAATGAAATATTTTTTATTTATTTAATTAAAAGTAGAAATTTTTATATAATTTAAATCATACGGATATAAAATACCTACTGTAAACATAATTTTAATTAAAAAATAAAAGCAAATAATGTTTTAAAATAAATATATATATAGACATTTAAGATCCAATGTATTTATATATAAAAAAAAAAAAAAAAACATCATAGTAATTAATATTTAAATATACACAAATTTCCGCTGGAAAAAACAAGTAACACAGGCACATGAAGGCACGGAACCGCAAGATAAAAATATAAATTGTATGTTTACTGTAATAACTAATAGGATAATAATAATATAAAATTATTACACATTTGTTACCATAATCAGTCACAATAATTTACTAATTATTACTATATATTTTGTTTGTTATATTCGATACCAGTGGTGCTATAAGAATAATAGTTTTATAAATAATTAAAAATATAATAGGATAATAAGTACATTATTTAAAACTAAATTTATTTTCTTTCCGAATTAGTATATGACTTGATATTAAATTAGTTCATAACGAATTATATATTATTATTGTTTGCCAAATTCCTTACAAAATTTATCAAAATTAAATACTTATTGAATTTTTTTTTGTTTTTTTTTTTTGTTTGGGGGGTGTCCAGATACCGTAGACACCCCCTCCCAAAAAATAAAATTAAAAAATAATACGCCACTGGCACTATTTAAGCATAATTTATATTATTAAAACTTAAAAGTAAAAACGACAGCTAGCATTTGCCTTATTTTATCGAATCTTTATTTTTACCTAACCCGTACACAACCCGTTTACAACTTGTGTAAAATATAAATTTGATGTTGGTACTTATATACAGTCTATGTAAAACCAAAAATATGCGTGTAAAGATGTTAATTGACAAAATATAATTATAAATACAAGAAATTGAATTAAAAAAAAATAAGACTTAAAAATGACAAAAAATGATTTAAACAGTGTCTAAAAGGTTTTTTGATTAGTATATACAAGTAGATGGTATTTCTGACATATCAACTTTAGGTACATGTTATTTTGCCCAGCTTTGCTCTTTTTGATCATTTAATAGAAGCAATATTTTAAATTTTTTTTTCCTTTTCTTTTTTATTGAATAATTCTAATTTGATTTACTTTTCGTTCTGGATCAAAAACCAACAACTCATAAAGTTCCAATAGTATTAACCAAAAACAATGAAAACGTTTTGTTCTATTATACGACATCAACTATTCACTAAAGTACTAATTTCTTACAATAATTAATAATTGATAACTCGGTTGAAAAAAAAATTTCTATGTGCGTACTTGCCGATTGCATAAAAATTAATTTATGGAATTGGAAATATAGGTACTTAAAATCTATACTACTATGTATTCATTCTTTACAAAAAAATAAAAAAAAAATCAAAATAATCAGATAAGTAATTTTAGAAAACATGTGTGACACAGATTTATATTTTTTCATTTATATACGTATATATCATCGATAAATTTCTTAGAACAACTGATATCTACACGCAGTTAATATCATAAACCTAACATAAAAAAGGCTTGTTCTTTTATACATACAAGGATGTATTAGTATAAATATATATATATATTAAAATACTTCAACTATTTACATAATGTGTAATTAAATATAGGTAAGTAACATGAATAAAGTTGTTTATAAATAATTTACATAATTTACAAATAATTATTACTGTTTGTCTTTTTATTGAAAATAATACAAATTATATTATTATAGTTTTTTAATTAATATTAAAAAAAAATAAATAAATTGGTACCTATATGTTAACATAACTTTTCTAAAATTTATGTTGGAAATATTTTCTATAATTTTATTTAAATTTAACTTCTTAGTTTTTTTTCAATGTTCAAAATGGCAAGGTTTAATAGTCGATCTTGACTCATTGAATTTTTTAAGTCAACAATTAATAATAATACGAAATGAGTTCTAGTAACTATTGAACGTAAGTTCTGGTATGTATGCCATGAATATAATTACGATTATTATCAGTAGGTATTCATTAGGTAATATTGATTATTGGCATACAGAAAGGTAATACCCAACAAATTATTGTATTAATTTTATTTTCAACTGTGATGCAAAAAATTAGTTAGGTATAATTGACTGATAACTCATTTCACATATCGTATCACATGTAGTTTACGTAGTTATGTCATACATTTAGTACCTCTCCTCACACAGGTCACCCCGAAATTAATCAGGTTATTCTTATTTTAAAAATAATGTTAATCGACTATCCTGATTATTGGCATTTGACAGGGATTTCATCATAAAAGCTGTGGCAGTCCATCCAGGACGTAAAGTAGGCAAGGTTCTACAATAGACGAAAATTTAACATTATGATACTAATATTATGGAAATTCAAATTTCCCCATTTATCAATATTTTCCAAAAAATTCATTTTAATTTTTAAGTTTTGTTTTGTGTGATGGAGTTTATTATTGACCAACTACGAAAATGGTAAGTATTCATTACGAAGAAATATTTTATTAAACTTGTTTCATTTTTTGTAAATTAATTTATAAAATAATGTAAATAACAAGTTACAACTTTCCAAATTATCGGAAATTTTCATTTAAGACTCCTAGTGGAGTTATGCATATATTGATTTTACGATGATGTTGGTATTTTATAATAAATATTTAAAATTATGATTTTTTGGTTTTGGTATTTGAGTGAAAAAATTTGACAATTTAATATAAAGGTTCCATATAAGTTGTTAAATTACCAATTAAATAATAACGAAAATACTTGGTTACAAATTTTTTTAATGATCGTTAAAATTCAAATTCTTTCAAAAGTTATTAAAATCAAAATTTAAATAATTAGTTCATAGTTAAAAATGTTTAAACATTTTAATATTCATCCCTAAAATTAAAAAATTTAAAACACGATTTCATATAAGTTCTACTTAAAAGAATAATGAAAACAATTTACCTAATGTAATTTTACAAATTATTATTTATGAGTCTATAAAGTTTAAATTTTTATGAAATTGGATATATTTATATGTAAAATAATGATAACTCATCAAACAATTTTAGTTATTTTGTCGTAATTCAAAAAATGATGATCTTAGAAATTTTAAACATCAATATTTCAAAATATTTGAACAAATTTTAAGTTAGTTTTAGACATTTTAAATTTTAAACCTTTTTAGTTTTAATTTTAAAGTATTTATTAGTAAATTTAGGCTTGATCAAAACACTTGACATCAGGCCCGGCGCAAGGCTAAATGACGCCCCAGGCCAAAATGCCAATTGGCGCCTTTTACATACAACCCATAATATTATAATACTCGGAAAAAATGTTATTCATGGATAAAAATACGGAAAAATGATGTATAATTCTTAACTTGTAGTTTGTACATTATTTGTTATCGTCTTAATTAAAAAAAAAATAACGTATAAAGAAATATAATGTAATAGGTATAGTATTCACATATAAATATAAAATACCTACATACTACAAAAAAAAAAAAAAATAAATAATAATACAGAAATTAATAATAAATGGAAATAGAGAGTACAATAAAACATAACATAAATAAAATATTTATTTAAATTTGTTATCGATCAACACTTTTCTTGATTTCTAATTCCCTCTTAATCTTTTTTTTTAAGTTTTCTGCTCCAGATAATTTCTTTTTCGGTGCCATTCTAACTAAAGCGTTTCCTAAATTAATTGTAATAATTTGTATAATATTATTAATTAATTCTTATCAAGTATAAATTATACTAATATACTAATATAAGGTATATTAAACATAAAATAAATATAGTATTCCAACAGATGCAGCAGCAAACGTGTTAATAAATAATAAATTAAAATATATTATATTATTTACTTTCTATTTTCTGTTAAAGTTATAACTTACCTAATAACTAGTGAAATTTAATCGTCAACTAGGCGATGGCGTAAGTACTCGTTTCAAAGAGCAAAAACAAAATGACAATAAAAGTATGATCACTGACCCGTATAGTACGATCGTCAATCAGTAAAATAATAATATAGGTATAATACTATAATAAAATTAACGTGTATTTTTAAACACACAGAATAAGCTGATAAGTGATGGACGGACGAGACGTAGTCATGAGTCACAATGGCTTGACGCGATCCCGATTAAACGATAACAAATATTCGGGAATTTTTATATTTGTAGAACAATACATAAGATAAACATTTTACGTTAGTACGCTAAACAGAATAACCATAATAATAATTATCTATATTTCAATACAAAGTTTTAGGAATTTTATATTTAATAAAAAAAATTACTAACAAAAGTGTGCAAAATTGTAAAAAGCAATTTCGGCGCTCCCCTGAAAATGGCGCCCTAGGCGACCGCCTGAGTCGCCTTACCCTCGCGCCGGGCCTGCTTGACATTTTAATACAAGATCCAACAGATTATTTTCTTATTGTAATTTGAAAATATTAAAAACAGTCCGATTTTGCATACATAATATTTATATATTATTTATCAGCTATTACTTACAATTTTAGCTGATATGAAATTTGCATAATTATATGTTCTTAATGCAATATTTTTGACAAAAATTAGTTTAACCTACCGTAATACTATTTACTAATAGAAAAAAGGTTAACAAACAACATAAATATGATGTAAAATATTTTATGCTCAAAATCGTTTTTCTTATATAATGATATTACCTAATACCTATCATGTATTAGGTACCTATATACCTATCTATTGTTAATTTTCAAATATTTAACAAACAGATAATACTAAATATGGTGTTACTTAAAATTGATATTATACTATGGTATAAATATATATTATAAAAAATAACTAAATATTAATATTACCATAAATGCAATATTTTCTGGAAAAAATCTATCGATTAAATTACCTGACCTAGTACTAAAAGTTGAATAAATGACTTTATGATAGCTAGGTATACACAAAACATATCATGAAATATACTTGGTGAAATTGTGATATACGCTGACAGATCGTCAGAATCATTTTTTTATATATATAAGGTGATACCTATCTACTTATGTCATTAAATTCAAATTAACCCACCCATTACAGTAACCTACTTGCCTAGGTACCTTTTTTTAAGTTGTTTAAAATATAAACACATGATAAATATTATCACAATAAACTTGTACTTAATTATAAAAAATTGTACATAAAGAAAATACTTATATTAACCGTGATCAGCCAATCGTAAATTTATAAAGCATACCTCTTTCTTACATCCATTGTTGAAAATTGATGGTAGACTGTATAGAAATAAATAATGCCTACATATTTTTATTGTGGTTGACTTGGTTATTAAGGAAATTATCAATTAGACGACAGATCTGTTTGCTGTTATTCAATTACTCATTAGAAGAATGTAGCAATACTTCAATAACTACTATATTTTATTATTTATAATTTATAATTATTAATGAGTAAAATTATTTTAAAATGTTGTAATTTAATATTAAAATTATTATTTATTTGGTCTGATATCTTTATCAATTTATCATGTAAAGATTGATAATACTAATAATGTCATTACATGATAACAGCGGCATGTAACTAGTGAGTGTCATAGCCAAGGAAGTAAACACCAGTAGTAGTAGCCGGTAGACTGATATTGTGATCGTGATTTGTGAGTACTTACTATTTAGTATATAGTATGATTTCAAATTTTCTCGCATACTCGTGCTCAGTCTTTAACATTTAAAATTTCTTACACGTTTTTAAACATTCCTACTTACCTGTGTGGATGTGAATAGTATGTACCTCAAACCTCAATAATTATATTGCACTTTCAATTCTATATTTTATAAGAAGAACGAATAGGTAACATTAACACACTACTTAAATTATAATTTAAAATTTAACCTTTACCTGTTTGTACAAGCTTTTATGAAAAGCTATTTTAAAAAGCTTTCTGTATTATACAATTTTAGGCTAAAAATTTCTTCTAAACAATTAAACATAAATATTACATGATATAATTGGTAGGTATAAAAATGTACAAGATTATATTTTAGTGATTAGATACATTTTCTTATTCTCTACCAGAATACTGTGATTGATTCATGTAAAATTATATGATACAGATGCTAATTATTTGTATTTTGTTCTAAGTTAGTAGTAAAAATGATCTAGTTATGAAATACAGTTATAATTAGTGATATAACTTATTTGTTATTGCTACATAACTTAATTACCTGCTAAGTTTTGATAAAACTTATTTATATTGAACAGGATTAAAGATATCTATTCGTTATTATTATTTAGACGATCTTAAAATCAATGTATATGAAAGTTATCTGAAAGTAAGAATAGATTATTTATAGGTAAATGTACCTATACCTATTATTTTTAAGTAATATTTTCTTTCTTTTTGTTCTCAATTTGTCCCATGGTTAGTGTCAACACATTTTGATATATTTTATATTAAGTAATAAATAAACAAATACCTATATATATTATTTCAAGTATATTGATTAAAAATGATTAAAATTTAAAATTTAAATATAATTTTCTAATAAAAACTATTTAAACTTTATTAGATATTTTTAATTTTGTGCATCAATGACATTGATTACATCTAAATATCTAAATGACATAACTAATACATTAAATGTTTACTATGTTTTATTATTTATATATAAATAAGAATAATAATGATATAATTAATGACTTATGATTAATTAATTTTCACAGTATCAAACTACGTATTATTATTATTATTATTCTATTGAAATAATATAGGTATTTACTAAGAATTTATTTTTCCAATAAAATCAAAAATTAATAATTAAAACCTTGTGGATTATAATATCTTTTTGTTACGTAACGGATGAAATTGTCATAGTCGTCTATAGATTTTTTTTTGTTGCAAATCTTAAAATAACATAAATTTGATTTATCTGTAAAAGTGAATTATACATTATAATATAACACAATAAATTAATAATATATTCATAAATATATTTTATACAGGCGTGTCATTTAAGTTTTTAGTCGTTGATGTCACTATATTTGCATGCCATTTTTAAATCACTACCATGCATATAGATATAGATTATAATACTATGTATATCTTGTATATAAAATAAAAACTAGGAATGCAATTTTTTACTTTCTTATTATTTTTGACGTTTAATTAGAAATTATGAAAAATGTTTGTGATTTATTAAATTTAATTCAATAATAAGGACTTTTCATTAATTTCTTATGGTTGTAATTTGTTCAATTTTTTTTTATTATTTGATCTTTATAGTATATTGTTGTTCTACGTTCTGTCTTAGTAGTTAGTTAATTGTTGAACCATGTTAAAAATGTATTGAAAAAAATTCAAAATTTAAAATATGATTCAATGAAAAATGAAAAATATATAGTGGTGTTGTTTTATTTTTGGTATGCCAAAAAAAGTGTTTTACAAAAACAAAAATAGGTATAAATGCATACCCTGCTTATTCAAATGATGCGCCTGATACTATATATATATATATATATAGTATATTGAAGATTTATAACTTACAGTTTTTCTTACCACTTTTCTTTTTAAAATGTTCAATACTTCTCATATTTTTAAGGTTTTCAAATATTGATTGCTGTAAATCCTCATTTTTTAATTCATTTTCTGTGAATTTGTCAAAATATTTGCCATTTAATGATGTCAACGGCAATGGTTGATATAAATCTTTTATTTTCTCTATTTTATCATTATCTTTAATGGCATGTTGGTTATTTATATCCTATTTATGTAATAATGATTCAATAAATAAATAAAAAGTAGCAGATATAATTATTGGTTTATTTTAATTTTATTACTTAATGTTACCTCTAAAAACTGTTTGAATAACAAAATCATATTTTCATTTGATGATTTTGAGTCATCACCAAGCTCCAATCCAGCTGAACAAATTACAGTAGTTATCAATATTTGTAAGACCATTATTTTCCACCAATTTGTTGCCATATTTTTATCGTCTGTAAATATATTATTGTTATAACTTATAAGTATTATTAATTTATCATTCTTGATTATATATACATTGATATAATTATAGTTTTATGTGTAAAAATGTACATCATGTTTTCAAATTAATTAAAACAATAATTTATATTGAATATTGTTATAATGTATGCTTAAATTACCTATTGCAAAAAATAATACAATTTTGAGATGGCTATGTGACAATTAAAATAAAAAATAATTAAAATTTATTTTAGTCTTATGTGTTTATATTATTTAAATCAAATTAAATTAATTGATTAAAAAGGAATAATCAAAATATGTATAATTCTATATCTTTATAATAGTTTTAAGAATAGAAATTGACTGTACAGTATAACCATATTTTTTCCAATAAATGTAATAATTGTTGAGTGATCAATATTTTTGGCAGTTATAGTTACTAATCTATTATTTGGAAATATTATAAATGTTAAGTGCTAAAAACAAAAGAAAAAAATCAATAAATTTATTACTTAATCAATTGATAAAGTTTCTCTCTATCTATATATGAATTTTTTTATTTGTTCTTTTAAATATTAATTATTTTGTTATTGATAAGTTGTTGTTAACATTTGTATACTATTATTTGATTGATTTAATAGTACTTGGTAGTATGAATTTACAATTAATTTAATAAAAGCCATTAAAAGTAAAGGGTATTATTTCATTTTCATAAAGTACTAATAAATACAGTAAGTCCTTGTTTAACGTCGCCTCATTTAGCGTTGTTTTGTTATTGCGTTGTAGAAGTTTAAGTCCTCATGTTTTGTTTAACACTGCAATGGTTTTAGTATAACGTCATTTGTAATACATGTGTTCATCAAATTATTGTTATATTTATATAAATTTCATATAAAAGTTTGTAATTTAATATAGCCGACCTTTTTCAGATAATACATAATGTTATCGTTTTTTTTTTTTTGATAGTCAGTTGTTCAACGACACTTTTTTTGGTCTTATATGCTATCTGTACAAATATGAATTATTTTAGTGTTGCATAGTATTTGTTAATCAATAAATTAATATGGCAATAAAACATCCAGGTTCGCCTTTAGTCGAAAATATTGAAAAAAATCGGAAAACTATTACTCTTCCTACAAAAATTGACATTAAACGTTTTGAATCCGGTGAGCGAGCGGTGGAAATTGCTAATCATTATTATCTTACGCCAACTACCATCTGAACTACTAAAAGCAATGCTGAAAAAATTAAGGCAAGTATCCAAAATACATCAGTTACTAGTTCAAATAAAATCAATCGAACTCGTAATCTTTTAATGGAGAATATGGAAAAAATGTTATGTTTGTGGATTGAGGACCAAAATCAACATCGAGTATCAGTGAGTTTAAGTATAATTCAGTTCAAAGCTAAATTGCTATTTAGTAAATTAAAAGAAGAAATTGGTGAAGAGTCTAATAATATTGAATTCAATGCTAGTAGAGGTTGGTTTGAGCGTTTCAAAAACTGTTTTAATTTTCATAATATAAAAGTAACTGGTGAAGCTGCAAATGCTGATCAATCTGTGGCAAATGCTTTTATTCCCAAATTAAAAAAAATTATTGAAGAAGGTGGATACTGGATACACACCGAAACAAATATTTAATGTTGACGAAATGGGACTTTTTTGGAAACATATGCCTTTTATAACTTACATTGCCCAAAAAGCAAAAATAGCTCCAGGATTCAAAGCAGCTAAAAGTCGAATAATAGTGTTGTTAGGCGGGAATGCTTTTGGTGATTTTAAATTAAAACCATTACTAATTCACACAGCTGAAAATCCACAAGCTTTTAAAAATGTATTTATTTATTGGCAGGAACCCATTATAATAAAATGTATTTAAAAAGTGTTTCAATTAACGTTGTGTTTTCCAGGAACCTAATCTCGACGTTAAACGAGGACTTACTGTATATATATATATATATAATAGTAATAGATAGTAATATGTTTATGTTGTTTTAAGATGTTTTTATAGTTAATGACAAAGTTACATAAAATAGATTGCAAAAACTTTATCTTTAATCTTGTTCTCATTACTGTAGTTTTCCAGTTTATGTCTTTTTTATAGCTTTAATATGCTTTCAAATCATATTAACGTAAATGTATTTATTTACTAAAAAATAATCATGAATAATTATTCCAAATATTTACAATTTTTTTAATATTTATAAGTTAATTATAATATTTACAATTTATTAACATTTATGTGGCTTTGCATTGTTCTTAGCATAATATTAATCACGGAGAATAGTTCATTTGTTTTTTTTTGTCATTTATTAACTACTTTTTTTTTTCTTACAATAGTTTTAATCTTATTCACTCAAGTACATGGGTGTAGGGGGTCACTCCTTCCTCTATGCTTTAAAGTCTTTAAACTTTAAACTAAATTCTATTTCTCATACCAAACTTATAAGTTTTTTTATGAAATCAAAAAAGCAAAAAAAAAGTTAATAACTGCCCCCCCCCCCTGAATAAAACCCTACCGTACTTTTATTTTTTTCAATTATGAATATAATCAAATGGTAGAAACATACTGAAATTATATTAAGTTAATAGCTTTATGTATTTAATGTTTTTAAACATTAGATATAATTTATATTTTAAATTTGTGCTTGAATGAGTTGGTAGAAGGATAGTAAAATGTTGTCTCCTAATTTTTTTAAATAAGTTATTTAACATTTAAGTTTTTACGATTAAGAATGTTTGCCTCATTTTTCTATTCAAGATAATAATTTCTGATTAAAGCATGGGAGAAAATTTTGATTTATAGTTATATACATTTTAAGATAAATTTGATCACTATTATCTTCTGATGTAGATAACTGTAATTTTAATTATTATTTTAATAATAAAAAAAGTAATATTTTATATGATAATAATGGATCAAATTGATAAAATGTTTAACATTACAAAAATAGATTGAAATAACGCAGTTGTTTTATCAGTTTTTTCTTTATACATAAATAAATTTACTATTTTTTTTATGCAAATAATGTAAAGTATATTTATTTATATTTTTTAATTTGAAAATTTTTGGGATTTTGAAAATATTGTGTTGTTTATGTTTCATATTTTTGTTATAAAATTTGAAATGTTTATTTTTATTTTTCTTAAGAATTACATTATTTTTGAAAATAAAAACTTATCTTTCCTAAGGATCTGAATCTAATTACTGAATATTTAATTTAGCAAAAGCCTAACAGATGTTTTATTTCATAAATAAAACACTTCCATCTTAAATGTATTTGTTAATAATTATACTTTAACAATTAATTCTAACATAACTTGAATTATCTATGTAGTGAAGTTGGTAAAATACTCAATAACAAAAACAATAAGTTTGAAAATATTATCAGATATTTTTAGTAGATTAGAGATTCTATATATTATCTATATAAAATATTTTTCCAGCAATGTAATTATTTGAAAGTTTTTTTTATTTAAACTACTTAGAGGAAATATCGTTACAATGCTAGTATATAAGTGTTGCATGTTCTATTGTTCTGTTTGCTTCTGTTTTGGTTAATATTTTATGATATAAAACTGTTCTTTTATTTATATTATTTATTATTGTAAAATAAATTCTATATACCAATTTATTAAAAATACAAAAAAAAGTGGAAGTACAATACAATTTTAATTATGTTAAGCAATTGAGTTTAAGCACGTTGTATGGTTATTTAATTTTTCATCCTGCTAAATTTTTTTATATTCTACTCCTGCTGTCTATAGAAAAATTAAAAAAGGATATTAATTTGGAATTTATTGTTATTTTATTATGTAAAAACGGAAATTGTTAAAAATTAAATCTTAAATTTCTCCATTAACTATTTATTATTGTAAACGCTTTTTTTAAATTTTTTTTTTTATTTAGTTTATAAAAACTGTAGGTTTTTTACAAGAATATGAATATAAATAACAAGTTTCGTCTGACATACATAAGTAGGTAGATTAACTAGGTTTGTATACAATGAAAAGTTATTAAATAATTTAGTAATTTTTAACTTTATTAAGTTATATTTGGTTATGTATTGTACATAAATTCAGTATTATCTTAATATTTGATGTATTAAAAATATAATTTTCTTAATTATTTAACTTGAGAAATGTCTACTGTGTTTTTGATTTATTTACTGTCTTTATTTTCGCAAAATTTGTAGTTTTTAAGGACTTAAAAAAAAAATTAATTTTTAGGAATATTTGTTACAATGTGTGTGGTTTTTTTGTATGACGTCATATTTTTAGGAACAGTAAAAATCTTTAATTTTAAGGATCGTTTCCACTAATAAATTTGATCTAGTTGGATTTTGAAAATCAGTGGCCTGGAAAAATAAAAAATAAATTGCTTACTATAAAACGGGAATTTACGCAAAATGTTTAGTAAATAATGGTTTTATTTATTTTATTTCAATTCAAAAACTTTTAGTTGTACGAACATAAAAACTTCAGTTTTTAATATAATGTTTATATATCCATATTATTATTTTCTATTCACAATTAAATTTTTTAATATCTAAGAAGACGAATAATTACAATATTTACTTTGTTTTTGTACGCTGAGCGTTGGTATTGATTTATTATAAGTTAATAATAACTATATAGAATATAATGTTATAATTGTAATTTAAAATAAAATTTGTTTATTTTGGACTTAGAAATTGACTTAACCTCTAAAATTAATTGAAAATACGGGAAAAATAATTTGTAGTCAATAAAAGAGTTATTTTATAATAATAATAATAATAAAAGAAAATGAAATGCATATTATGTAAAGAATAGTAAAAGTTCTGAAGTTTTTTGATTTTTTTTATCTATTTTATACCATGTTTTTTATATCACGTATAATATAAGTATATAGAATGTTTCATAAAGTGCGCAATTATTGAACATGAAATAAATCAGCCAAAATCATAAATATATTTAAACTTTTTATTTTATTATACTTAAAACACATTTCGATTTAATGTTTAAAAATTATATCCACTATATTATGCCCACCTCTACTATCTGCAGGTCGACTCATATTCATACTATCTTGCACTACCGCGCAATGTTTGGTCGTTAAGATTTACTCGTTTTCGACCTTAATTTTTTTTTTGTGTTTCAACTGAACCAATTTGTTCAAGTTTTCGTACTAATTTGAAAATTGTTAATGCAGTAGGAGCTTATACACGTACAAAAGTTGTGCTAAGTTTACGAACAATCACGGCTGAGCACTCGTCGTTCTTGTAATAGGTTTTTAGTATGAATATACGCTAATGGTTACTGAATCGCTCCATGACAATTAAGTTCAATAAAAACGAATTATCTTTCAATCGGAGTGATAGTAGATGACAAAAATAATTAAAATATGGTTGACAACCTTCAAACAAAAAAATCCCATGCATTTTAAAAATTACGTACTTTATGAAACACCTTTTATTTTAATACAATTGGTTTTTGAATAAAATTTATTGAATTGTTACCAATGTTACGCTAGTCAATCAATTTGTCCAAAGGTATAACATTACTTATTCTCAAAATTAGATACACGAAAATGTTAGAACAGAAGTGGAAAAAAACAAATTATTCGAGAAGCGATGAATAATCACTTAGCGTCATGCTGTTCGAAATCCGAATGTAACGTGGTCCCAATTCTGTGTTGGCGCCAAATAACCAATTATTTTTTTACCGGATTCCATATAAAATGTAAAGTACCTTTATTGGTACATGTTTTCCATTTAAAAAAATTGCAATTGCAGATTGACATTTACAGTTCGAAACAAGGACTTGGCCTTGTCTTATACTTTCTATTTTCCGCATGAGTAGCGTGTGATTTTTATTTAAAAAGTATTAGCTGATAAAAAAAACAATTTGTTATTTGAAATTGAAATTTCTTATTTGTTTTGTTATAATACATTTTTATGATTCAAATGTTTTTAGCTAATGGTAATATGTATATTACTGTTAAGTAAATATAAGATAATGTATTGTCGCATAACTTATATTAAATATATTTAATTCTTAAGATCAGAGAAATTATGGAATCATGTTTATTAATAACAAATGTTGTTACTAAGAATTTGAGTTCGTCAAAATCTCGATAATTATAAATTATTCTATAATTTTTGACTACATATTTATCTTCTATAAAAAAATATTTTATTATTAAAAATTTTAAAATGTTATACGAAGTTCTTAGATTTTATTCTTATTATCAAAATATTTTTGACTCATTTAAACTATAAAGCTTATAATGAGGAATTTTCGATTTTTTTGTTCTATAAATGTTAGTAAAAAGTGTATACAACAAAATTCTACATGAAAGATTCTTATATTTGTATAAAATTTTTAAAAAAAATAGGCATAATTAATTTTTTTATATGCATTTAAACTTAAAATTCTTACAAAATTTGCCAAAATCACAAAAATTTAAAAACTACAAGTATTTTATATTAAAAATTTTATAAAATTTTCAAGGTTAGGTTAAGTTAGGTATGTTAACAGAAAAGGTATGAAAATTTAATAATGTTTTTTATAAATATTTTATACTGAAACTAAAAATTTGTCAAATTACCGTTAGGTATACTTAAAGTAAAATTAATGACTTTAATAGCTATATCGAAAAAACATAATATCATGAAACATGATTTTTTAAATTATTTTAAAAGGTATTGGAGATTTGTTTCGTTGACTCCTCTAGGTCTCAACAAGATTAAATTTTCTACCTAAAACCTTCTTCAAAGTTAAAGATAAAAACCAATCTTGTGGTTCTGAAATGTATGATAACGAACTCAAATAATTATGTCATTGTGATACTAATAGCAGTTTTTCTCACTCTAATAGGAATTTAAAATTTTTTTTTGTAATTTAAATGTTATTTCTATATTATGTGGTACAATTTTATTTTATTGGGTATAAAATTCTTCAAACAGAACGTTATTTAAGTTTAAATTTGATTTTATTTAATATTAAACTTTTTAAAGTAATATAAAATAAATACACCATATTATAAACTCAAGTTACATGTCTTAGCTTTTAAATATTAAAAACCTCGTGAGAAAACTTATCAATATTAACCCAAATTCATAATTTTAGAATAATGAAAACATATTTTACTTGATTTCGTTTTTAAATGAAAAATGTATCAATACTTACTGTGTTAAGTCGTGTAAATTGTTAGAATGGTCTTTAGAAAAATATATTGATGGTCAGTACTGCGTATCTACCTTTTTTTTCTAATAACCTACATATCATCGCATGTTGTAGAGTGTACATTTCTAATAGTGTCTACTAACTATTTAATTTTAATTTGTATTGTTTATATTAGCTTAACTATCAGTTTTAAGAGTTTTATAGAAGTATGTAAATTTTCACTTTAAATATATTTATTAATAAAACCTAGTAAAAATGAAAAAAAATATTATTATTATTAAAAGTATTGATATTGAAATAATTTGAAAGTGTTTTATTTTAACCATTTGTGGTAGAAGGAGGGGACGAGTCCCTAGATACCATTAAACCTGCTACTCACTTATTATATTCAGTTGAACAACATTGTTCAATTATCCATTTAAAACAATCGTGTTTTTGTAAGTTATGAGATGAAATGATAATACATCTCGATATTTAACAACAGAATATAAAAATAATAACAATGATAAAGTATAACACATAATTTCTAATATCTGGGATTGTAAAATTTATATTGATTCGAATGAGGAATTAAATTGAAATATATTAAAGAATATCTATTAACTTATCAGTTAATTAGATTCACAAGTAGATTTGTCAGTCGTACAAAATTAACATTGGTGTTACATTTGAAAATATCTTAATTTAGAAATGGAATATAAAAAATTGTATTATATATTTATCGTTAATTTGAAATATTTATGTTTAATTTTTAAATTAATTTAATACTATAAATATCTTGAATTTTAATTTTAAAACTCTAAGTTATTCAATTAACTCTAATATAGGCATATTTAACTATTTAACTCATCGTACCATTAGTTCAATCAAAGAAAGTTTTTCCATTATAATATGCTATGTGTGATTATCGTATGTATACAACATAATAATTAAATGATTTTTTTAGATAAGTTTGGATTAATAATAGCAAAAGTGTTTACGAATTTGTGGCAGTAATATTAATATAATTACCTATTTCAAAGATGTAATTAATTATTATTATAATTATAGTTACATTATTAAACTACGTATTTATATACGTCCATAAATGTATTAAAAAAATATATTATATTTTTGAAATAAACTCAGTGAACTTTAACAAATACAGTATGTTGTAGTATGTACCATATCAAAATGTATGCAATATTTACCCATCACTTATTCGTATTATTATAGCAAACTTGCTTTGTATTTTTCGTATAGTCGTATAGTCGTATGCTTCTTTATAATTCAGGATTCGCGCTTGTGTAACATAATTTATTTTAAAAACTACTTGACCACCAATTCACAAAATTATAAGTATTCTGTTAAATGTTTTTTTTTCATAAGTTATCCAAATTGTATGATGTATAAATGTATAATATACACTGTGCATCATATAACATACGTATATATTTGAAATATTTAAATACTTGTAATATAACTATGATATTTTAAAACTAAAGTTTGATAATTTTTTTAAACAAATCATATAAACTATTAAAACAACATAATAATTTTGCTAAAAAAATTAAAATTAAAAATTATATTACCCTACTTTATTATATCAAATAATTGTATTCTTAACTTAACCTAAGACCTATTTAATTTAGCTCAAACAATTAATTATAGAAAATTTATATTTTGGTTTTCAAACTTTTGAGACGTGTATAAAAAAAACTATAGGTTAAGATTTTTAAAATATAAACATAAATATTATTAAAATTGAATTAAAATAATGCTAATCTTGCAGAATTAGTAATTCTTTAAATCATACGCAGAATATTAAATATATTGTAAAAAAATTTAACAATTTATTTTTAATATTTAAATTTATAATACATTGTTAAAAGTTTATATTTTATCTTTAGTTAGATAATTGATGACAATTTATATCTACTGATAAATTTAAGTCGCTTTTGCATCTCGTAAAATTTGTTTAAATTTTAAATTTAAACAATTTTAGGGAAAATTTTTGGACAATTTATCGATAAACTATTGTGTAAAGAGTTTATAATTTACTAAAAAAAGTAGTATTATATATACAGACAAAACGTATAAAATTCTTGGATAATTTTTTCTATCTTAATTGATAAGTACTAATAAAGTCCACATCAATTTTAAATTTTTTTAAAACTTTCTGTTTTAGTGATAACTTAAAATTGTATATATTTTATTTGACATTAAAAAATAATTGTTTTAAATATTACTTAACAGTACATGTTATTTGTTTACAATTTATGAATGTTTTTTTTTGTTTTTATATTATTTAATGAAAAATTGATAATCAATTAGGTAGGGATACTAGGTATGAAATAAGTAATATTAATATAATGTTAAAAAATGTGACGAACAAAATAATTTATTTTTAAAATTTAGACAGATGGGTAGGACTGTTACTTAAAAAAATGCATATCATACTGTATAGATCTTCATTCACATCTTAAAATTAAAATAAATGTATATAGTAATCAAGAATTGGGTTTATTAATTATGATGTATTATATATTTACCTTATTGTATATCTGTATGAATTGATTGATTTGGTTGCTCTTGTCACGGAATGTGTATTGTTGTAGTGATATATTCTATCGCTTTTATAATTTTTATAATGTATAGTATTCGAAAAAGGAGCAAAAGAAAAATGAGGAGAAAATGTAATTGCTAAAAACGCGTTTATATAACGTGATTTTAACAATTTGAAAAAATGTAATAATGATATTAAATTACAACCGTTGGTCGTGTATAATATATTATGATACTTTATTAAATTATTGTAAAATACGGAGAGGGTTGGACGGTCAAAGTCAAAATGTCCGCTGGAAATGCGGTTGTCGTAGCTTTTATAATAGCAGCCGCAGCCTATCGTACCGTTAAAAACGGTTGTTACGGCGAGGCGATGGCAGCGCCGACAAGCCCGAAAAGTCGTTTCTATTCCCGCTGGACGCCCCTCGATTCACGACCCTCATTCCAGCTATTACGGCTTACCTGTTGCCGACAACTATATTATAGTATTATCCGCGTCCCCCGGTGAATAAGTTTTCTATTAAAAGACGCGCGACGACGGTGTATAATATTAATTAATAAATATAGTTACAGACGCCAAACGGCCGTCGTTCTTATACGCGTTCCCCAGATAATTATGAGCTCATTGTAATCATTATTATATAATTTTGTGTACCTAGGTATATCGAGGTATTAATCGTCACACACGCAATACAATAATTTTATAATATATATGTTTACATTTAATATTACATTGTTATAAACGACTATACGAGTCATTGTAATGAATCACTTAAATATGCATTAAACGGTTTTAATATTTTGTAAAACTGAGTAGTAAAACGTTTTTCGTCACGATATCTTTAATTTCATTAAGTTTAAAAACGATAAACTAATTAATCAGTTAAAATTACTCATAAACATTGGCATATATAGTCGATCTTGTTTACTTTAGGCACTTTTCACAACGTCACAACAATTAAGATTTGAAATAATGAAACACGTAAGATGACCTACCATCGACTAATAAAAATATCCCGTGACTTATGTAAAAATCATGCAATGTAAGAATGGAATAAAATTACATGAGTGGTTTATAATTTAAATTATAAATGGATATAAATGAATATCGTCTGATATATATTTAAATCTTTTTTTTCAACCTATTTGAAGAAAAATTATATACTACTTTAAAAATGTATGTAAAATATGCGATGTGAATGTAATAAAATATATATATATATATATAAACACGTGAAAAAGAGTTATATATGCAAGAAATCACTAAAATATTATAGATTTCTGGTTGGTTTGTTAATAGTAAAAATACATTTCTATATCAATAAGCTATGTTTTGAATGAATATTAGAAAATATGCAAATTCTTATACATAATATATAAGTTCCTAGTCTTATATTAATGATGTACACTCTGTTTGTTGTTAACGCCACAGCGACGGTGTTCAATTATTATACAATATACATAATACGCGTAATACCGCGGTGTGTGAGCAGTGGTATTAGTGGTAGCTTGTTGGTTTGTTGTGATGTGTGGTTAGGTAGGGGTTGGTGGGCGCTCTTCGACGTAAGACTGAATGGCTGTGCTGCCGCATCAAAGAACCTAGTTTAAAGTTTTCGAGACCGTGTATTAGGTATACTATTATATACTTTACATTGTACTTAAATATAATATAAATATATATATTATATATGTTTATTAATACTCTGAAGATGTGTATATATCGACGCATTAGTGATTTTCTACATGTACCTATATATTACTTATTTAAATAAGAACCATTAGCACATTAAGATTAACAATTAACTTTATGTATTTGGGTATAACACAAAGATTGAAATGTATTATAAATAACTTCTGTTGAATTAAATATATATATTTATGTTTTAGATTTTGTTATTCTAAGTGCAATGGAATGTATTTCAGACTTTATAAAGTTTTTACTTTATGTTATATTCAATGTATTTACACAAAATTAGTATTCGACTAAATCAATTTAGTTTTTTTATTGTAATTTAAAAACACATAACTGTGCATATTTTAAATTTTCACCAAATTTTTTTGTCCGAACTTTTAATACGAGTACAAGATAACATTTTCAAAATATTTTGACTTATTTTGAGTTATTTATAACAATTTAAATTCATCAGATTTATACTTACACTTATTGTATATAGACATTATGAATAGACATGTTCAAATTGAGACAAAATTATATATTTTAACAATAATCAACGATCTTAATTATTTTTATAATTCAAAAACATTCGTAAGGGCTTAAAATTTTTACGTGTATTACTTTTACTATACGAAATAATAAACCTACCAGCGAGACTTAATTGTAAGACGAAAGTGGTTAATAGTAAATAATTATTAAAAAAGCAAATGGTATTTAATTATGATTACTATTTTTGATTTAAAAACGTATTTCATCTCTAAAATGTCAATATCATCTCCGATAAAATATAATAATTTCATTTTCAGAGTAAAATATGATGTTTTTAAATATTATTTCTCACACAAGTTTAAAATAGCAAGCTTTTATTTGCGATATATAGCGATTATAACATTTTTATAAAAGCAATAATGAACCGCACGTTCATAGTAAATTATTAAGTATTCGTGATAAATAAAAAAAAACCTCTATCAAATACAAATATAATACTTTTTTGAATTATGTAATTTTGTAATTTTACCTATGTGTATACACTGTATATATACATATAGCTTTATAGTGTTTTGTATGAATAATGTTATATAAAGGAGTTGTAACATAAATCATTCAATTTGCATGTTAGCCGGAAATATTGAATTGAAATTTCCCTAAAGATTTGTTTTTATAAGATTAATATAAACAAAAATATATACGTGATAAATAATAATAAATGTATCTATGCATACGTATTATAAAGAAATGTTTATTTATTAAATTCAATAAACGTAAAAAAACTTCCATGTTCAAAGTCAAGAACAAAAAAAAAAATAAATAAATATTATACAGAGAAATTTGTTAAATAAAATTATATGATTTTTTTTTTTTATTTTATTTATTATTTAATTGCATGTACATACAAATATCATATTTATATAAATTATTTATTTATTTTTATTTAAAAGAAAGTGAATTTTATTTGCTTATTATTTTTATAAATTATATTTTTTTTGTAAAAAGTTATAATTTTATTAAACTTAAAAAAACTTCATCAAAGATGTTTTTTAACTATCAAAAACTATTTTTTACAACAGAAAAAGCGTTTAAAATCTTCTCTTCTGTAAGTTTGGGTAGTTCTGCATAATATTCATTTTCGTTTTAGAACAATATTTAAAAATGAATAGATTTGTTATCGAATAATGTATTTGCAGTTGTTTAGAAATATTAGATTTGTTATTTATAGATAATTAATCTACTTATAATTAAAAATAATGTAAGCCATACTTCTTAAAAACATTTCATTAAACAGAAAATTTGATTAAATGGGTTCGTTATAAGAATTTTTACTGTAATATATAATAGAATACATTATATATAAAAAAAAAGGTTTTAGTTTTTAGTTGGAGCATTTTATTATTTATGCTAAAAAAAATATATTTTATATCATATTTACAATACCAGTTATAAGGTATAAACAATTATTTTGTGAAAACATTGTTTGTTGCGTAGTGTTATTATAAAATTTTTGATGATTAAATTAATGGATTAATAGTGAATGAAATAAAATAACAAAATAATGGTAATTTAAGTATAACGCATGCTGAGTGGTTAGGCTTGTGATTGTTTTGATTGGCCACTTAATATGTTATTATTTCCAATAAACTATTTTTGTCAAATTTTAAAATCGGTCTCGGGTGGTGTTGTTTTAATAATTATTTATTTGTTTAAGAACTAACAAGCATTTCGTACGAAATTACAATAATGATTAAATTTATAAATGCAATTTATGTACGTATTTATTTTAAATATTTTTCTTGAATAATTTTATACTACAGTACTATATTACAGTATTACTTTTATTTAACAACAATTAATTTGTTTATTGATAAGTATTCTAATAAACGTATGTTAAGTACAAAAAATTTAAATGTTCAGGAATATTTTAGCTGTTATTATGGTGATTTGTTATAGTTTTAAATTTTAATAATATATTATTGAATTAAGTACATTATTATAGACTCAAAAAATTGTATATATATTTAATATAAATACTTATACTGTTTCATTGACTTTTTTTTATAATATTTGAGACAATTTTGAAAAATTTCGAAAATATAATTGGTTGTTACATTTATGATAAACTACAGGAGAATTAAACGAAAAATTTCTTAGTTTAACTTTTCAATTGATCGATATGGTAAACAGAAAATGATTAAAATGAAGTTGCCTAATAGTTTTTGATAAAATTACAGAATATACTGAAAACTAGAGCAATTTTATTTACGACGAACACGTGTATTAAACGAAAACGGTATTTGTTTATTTCGTTGTATTGTTAAAAATGACTACGTGAAGACTTAATACTATTAAAAAACTGACGGGTTTTTTTTTTATATATATATATTTTTATATAATTATAATGTAAAGTGAGACAAGTGTCCGTCTCCGTATTGTGTCTGGATTTTTTTTTATCGGATTTTTATTTTCAAACCTAAACGATGAAATCCCTTTGGTGACTGCTTAGCTAATTTAATTTTGCTGAACGGTTCAGCCAATATTATATAGGTTATTTTTATTCCTCACATTAGTATCGTTATTTTCCTTTTACATTTTCATGCGCTCAAATTAAATTATTCTCATTCAATATAGTTATTTATTTTATAGTTTGACAATATGGAAGGACTTTCCGAGGACAAACTTTTTGTTGCCGAAAAATCTAAGAGTAACAGGGCAAAATGTAAAAAGTGTAAAGAAATTTTAAATCAAGGAACGTTAAGAATAGCCAAAGTTATGGCGAATCCATTTGGCGATGGAAAAATGATGGCTTGGCATCATCCACAGTGCTTAGTAGCTGTATTTTCTAAGCAGAGAGCATCGACGGCAAAAATTACTTGTGTGGACGATATCGGTGGATGGGATGGATTATCCATGGAACATCAAAACGAAATATTTACGACGTTCCCCGATAGTAAGAAATGAAAATAATTAATTTTAAACGTATAATTTGTATCAGCAACTACGAATAGAAATGTGAGTATAAGTATTTTTTTATATTTTAGTTCCTAAGGAGAAACTTAAAACACACGATGACGAAGAGCCTGGTAAAAAAGACACACCCAATAAAAAGAAACCAAAAACAAAACCTGTGCTGTCGCTGCCACAAACCCAAGATTATTATTTTAAGGACTTTCGAAAACTGTGTTTGAGTCTCTCTCAGGAAAACAGTCATCTTCAAAAAACGTCAATTTTTAAAGAATTTATCCACAATATTTTATCTAAAGGTATATTCTATAAATTATTATGTATGTATGTACGTTATTTGTTATGATGTATATTTAAATAATTTAATTATTCAAAATTAATTTCTGCCGTTATATATTTTTGTCGTTATTATTTGTTTTTAATTTGTTCTCTATCTTAAAAAGTTGTTATAGACATTTAAAATTTTGTCATTATTTTTCTATATTCGGAAGAACTCATACAGAGAAAATGAGTTAGTAATTCATTAGTTAATTACTTAATTATAAAATACAATTAAAACTGTTAATGGTTTAAGATATATGATCTTATATGCTTAATTAGAATCTCGGATATTATAAATTTAAATCTTATATTTTGATAAATAATTTTTTATAGTTAATTAAAATGTACTTTGGAGTTAATTTAATATCCACGTTATAATTTTAAATTGAATAGTACTTAATTCTGGTCTGATAGTAATATAAATTGTATTGGTATATTAACTTGTATATTTTTTAAATTTTAATTAATTACTCATGATTTTTATACAGAACATTCAGATGATACCCGTGCAGAAAGTATGTTTTTGTGGTGTAAAATGTTGTTACCCAATTCAGAAAAAAGAATTTACAATCTACATTCAAAACAACTTATTAAATTATTTAGTCAAGTAAAAAAAAAAAAAAATTATTTTATTTTATTCATTACTACTTCATAAATACATTATTATAAAAATTATTACACTTATTTTTTCATAAAAATTAATTTTTTCATTGCACATATAATATATTTAATGAACAATAATAAGATACGTGTAATTGTTTTTATTAATTTCCGTTATATATTTTAATTGTTAAAAGTTGTTTAAACAAAATGTAAACTTAATGCTGGAAGATTTGGAAAAAGGGGATGTTGCTGAAACAATAAGAATATTTTTTGAAAAAAGTAACGATACTGATGTGAAACCAGCATCAAAATCAACTTTAACATTAGCTAAAGTGAACAGTTTTCTTGATCAATTATCAATGGAAACTACAGAAATTGCACAAATGGCACTATTTAAATCAATCGCGAAGTTGTAAGTTAAGCTACCTTTATCAATACTAGATTAGAATAACTTAAATTTTAGATTAAATATAATTTATTTTACAGATGTACTGGAAATGATTTAAAAATGATAATTCGGCTGGTGATGCATGATCTCAGAATTAATTGTGGACCAAAATTTATGTGAGTTACTATAATATGATGAAAGTTAAACACTATTTTATGCATAAAAATTACATTGGCGTTTGATACGTCTAAAAAAACTACTGCACTTATCTACAAAAAATAGTGTGTAATTTATAGGCGGCGTGGCTAAGATAGGTTTTACCTATAATCATCGCTATTAACCATTACGTAATAAATTAAGCAACCAATCATAACATTTTTTATAACCGTGACAATTTTTAAAGTTACACTTCTAAAATGAAACAATGTTTATAAATAGTTCTTTTTCTTAAAATTATTTCACTTCAAAAATATTAAATATACAATTTTTATTTTAATAATTTTTCGAGATTACTTTAATAGTAAATATTCTTTAATTCGAAAAGTGTTATTATAGTTATTAAAAATTAATACATTTCTAAAAAAAGTAATATTTTTAATATAATTCTGTAAGATATTCAATTTTTTCAATGATAGCATACATTTTTGTTTTATAATGTTAAGCAAAATATTTTTTAGAAAATATCAACATTTTAACAAGTAATACATTTGTTTTAACATTTTTACCTATAAATATACATAAATAATAACTTAATAAGTATTTTAAGTTAATATATGAGTTTTTAGACTATCAATAAACGATGATACCATATCATCACTCTGATCATTTAAACTTCGAAAACTTAAATAAATTTAACTATAGTTCTTGTTTTGATTAAACTGTTATAATTTTAAACGCTTATAAAAAATATTCTGACTATGTATTTTCAATATTTTTTAATTTATAATTGAAACATTTATAAGAAACCTTTTATTAAATTTTCAAACCTTTAGACCTAAGAAAAATTGTTTTATCGATATTTTAGGAAAAAATAATCAAAAATTTATCATGCCTATAAATAGCTCAAAAATAGTCAAAATATATAAAAAATTATAAAATGTATAAGTAGTAGTAATATTGAAATTTGGTGAACATTTGTGCTACACCAAAAAATAAAATTTATTTTATCAAATACAATTTTTGCAAGAAAATTCTCGTTTCTCGTTAATTTTTTGTTTGTTTTTTCTGGTTATTTTGAATTTTACCCTTTTGAAATACAAACTAGATTCAATTTGCTATCAAAAACTACTCTAAAAGTCAAAGATTAAATTTTTTCAACTATATATCGTATATACAAAGAAAAAAAAGGTAGGTAAATGAGTACATTCTACTGTATATTAGGTGTTGATTGGGTTATTATTATTGATCTGTTAAATTTGAATTCAATGATACATCATTGTACATGAAAAACGATTCTGAGCGGAAACAGTCTATCAGCCTATATCACTAAGTGATAATGTTTTCTTTTGATATACTTATTAGGATAATTTATTTTATTTTTGGTATTTTAGTAGGTTGATATCATTTTTTCCGAAAATATTGTATTTATTTTATTACTAGTATTTAATTATTATAATAATATATATTTATACCATACTACATCAACTTACTTAAGTATAAGTGTATAACTCAAAACTTAATAACATCTTTCTGTAAATACCGTAAAACATTAAAAATAGATAATAATTTAAAATAAATATTGCGTATAGTAAAATTCATATCAATATAAAATACAAAAAAGTTTTAGTTCCCACAAATAATGTTTTTAAATTATAACTAAATTTACATTATATCAATATTTATCGTTTTAATAAGTTATTTCATCCGAATCATTAAAAAATTAATATTTTGTGAAAAATTTTAAGTATTAACGATTACCGTTTATTTGTTTTTGAGTTACATCTATTTTACTCATTCTTAACAAGTGAACTCAATAATTGGTTATCTAGTTCAATGTTTACAACTACAAAAAATAATAATAATCTAACAAGTCGAAAATGATGAAGTATTATAAACGTAAGCATGCATTTAGAATTTATAATGTCGATTGTTATTCATTAGGTATGATGTGTAGCATATGAATAAGTGGATTCAAGCCGTTTATCATTGCTTGTCAGACAAGTTAAACTGCTACATAAGTAATTTATACATTGGTTCTGTTACTACCTATGTTATTGACAATTATTTTTGTTTTTTTATTTTTATCGAAACGATAGATCATATATTGCACTTATAATATATAGATTCTATTCTAATCTAATAGATTTATAGATATACGATATTAAAAATAGAATAATACATGAATAAGTCATTGCATGTTTTAATTTGAAATATTAGGTCCTCTGCAGAGAATCGATCATATTTTTCAATACAACTCTTTTGTTGAGAGTATTCTTGAAGTTAAGTTTGTGATATCGTTTTAAAATTGATTTATATATTATATTTTATGAACGTGACTTAGTTGGACATAATTTGTACTGTTATTTCAGTTGATCGATTATTTTTGGTTTATTGCAACTTTATAATAATTCAGTAGTGATGTGAAAACCGTATTTAAGGGTAAGAGAAGGGTGGTCAAATTTCCGGTGACATCTAAAAACATTTAAGAAAATTAGTTTAAAAGATGTTTAAAGTTCAAACTTATATAAGTTTCTTATTTGTACTGTTACAGTATAAATATTTTTTTATAATTTTATCTAAAGGATGTTATGATTAGGGCTCGAATTTAAATATTGTAAATATGTAATTGATGTGGATGCTGTTAAAAGAATGCACTTAAAAACATAAAATATTAATTTATTATTATTTTTTATGCTTGAATTTGCTTTTTTTTTAAATTGAAAATTATAGTAGATTCATTTTAAACTATATACCTATATCCTACAATAGAAGTAAGCCCACGACTCGCCTAGGGTAATTTTATTTAATGTATTTCTAAAGTAACCCGCAAGATCATTTGAATTAGCGACCTCCGATGTATAATATTAATATGATTTTCTATAAATACCTACTATTAAATATAATGGTATTTTAAAAATTACAATAAATACATACTATGTGTTATAAAACATTAGTACAGCTTTATGGGTTTTAAAGTGTATATGTTATTGGTCATGAATAAAATTCAAAATACGGCTCTAAAAGTTTAAAATCTTGAAAACTATATTTTATTTTTTTTTTATTTACGATATTTTTAATATGATGCAAGAATGCATATTATTATTAGAAGCTTTACCTATTGATTTTCAAATGAAGATTAGGAATTATGCTCTTAGAAATTGTATATCCTCTTAAAATTAAAAATCTATAAATTTAAAACAATATGCACTAAATTAATAAATGTTGCAAGGATATAAGATGTGAGAAAAAACTTTTTGAAAATTATAATATCTTTGTTTTCTGTTTATTTCCTTTCGTAAATAAAATAAGTGTGTAGTATTAATATTTACGATGTTAGAATAAATTATACCGTAGAGTTTCGGTAGTCTAGATGAATTCAGACCGAGAATCGTCCGGATTACTGAAGGATTTTCAAGATTACCTACTCAAACGACTAGGATTTTTATTTTAAATCCCACCAACTTTATATTTATTGCACTTTAAATTTCAAAAATAATAAATGACTTTAACATAATGAATTACAAAAAAAAAATGTTTATAATATTAGAACTTATAGTAGTCAGTATTTTTTTTTTGAAAAATTCCGAACAAACTACAAATGTATTTACGAACAATGGACTTATGCCGTTCAGATTACCGCGTTCACTGGATATTAAGGCTCTACTGTATGTTCGAAATCGTTTAAATTCTGAAGAATATATAGCTATTATAAATCTATAGAAAATGGACAAGATGGATATTGTATAAATGTGTATAACTATTATTTACTAAGACATTAGAGTTAGACTACTTAAGTTTTAAAGCATACTCATTCTCCACGTGTTGTATTAACGTTAAAAATAAAATTCACAATTTCAAACTTTTGGTAAAATACATTTAAAATACTCAATTTATTCATAGTTATGAAAAATAGTTTAATTAATTAAACCTAGCTGATTCAAATTTTATTCTTCATTAGACAAAATGAACAAAGAACTTTTTGGATTTGTATGACTAAATGTTGTTTTGTTTTGAATGGCTAAAACGAATCTTAGTTGTTTTTTGTCTGTTAAAGTCCAAGATTCTTAATTACAGTTGTCGACCCCTTTGCTCAATAATTACACAATAAAAATATTTTTATAATAAAAGTCAATTTAGTTTAGTCTGTTTAATATTTGTTTATATTTGGCATTATTTTATTAAACCAAAAATAGAACTACTGTAACAAATAGTCGCTATAAAAAGTATAAAATAAATGAATAAATAATAATAGGTTATTAAAATATGCTCAGTGTATATTGTGTTTAAATATATATAACTTGTAAGAACATTTTTTTAGATTCATACATATTATATGTACTTATGTTATATTTTCAGTTTAGGGGCACTTCATGTTGATGCATATGAAGCATACCAAACATCACATGATTTAAAATCTGTTGTACAAAAAGCATGTTCATGCGATTCATCTAAGGTAGCCAGCAATGGAAAAATGAACATTAAATTATCTTTGTTAACACCGATTTTACCAATGTTGGTAAGTTGCTTTTTATTGAACTAATAAACTTTTGTCTTTTATATATTTCATTGTTTTAGGCTGAACCATGCAAAAATTTGGATGATTTTTTTAAAAAGTGTCCTAATGGTGTTTACTCAGAAATTAAATATGACGGTGAGCGTGTTCAACTGCATAAATGTGAAAAAGAATTTAAATTTTTTTCTAGAAGTCTTAAACCTGTCTTGGGACATAAAGTAACTATCTTCAACTTATACTCATATATTTATATATGTATATATATATATATAAATATATTAAAAACTGTTATCTATTACCTATGTAGATATAATTTATAATACCTATTTAAATTATTTAATGTATATATTTATTATTCCATACATTAATAATTATGTTTGTCAAAATTTTAATTATTAAATATTATCAAATATTGATGATTATCAATTTGAATTTCAGGTTGATATATTTAAACAGTATATTCCTAAAGCTTTTCAGCACGGAAAAGAGATTATTTTAGATTGTGAAGTACTAATGTATGACCATAAAACTAATAAACCATTACCATTTGGCACCTTAGGAATTCATAAGGTATTTTTAACTCTTATAATGAGACAATTACAAGTTTAACTAATACAGTTATTTTTTTTTTTTCATAGAAAAGTAAATTTGAAGATGCTAATCCTTGTCTGTTTGTATTTGACTGCTTGTATTACAATGGTGTATCATTATTAGATAGGTAAGATTGTAAGAATGACAAATACTTATACATATGAAATTAATGTCTACAGTTAATTATTTCATTTTATAACAATTTATTATCCTATAAATCATTTTCTGATACTTAAATACTTATATTTATCTAAAATGCATTCATGTGAATGTTTACGAGAAAGATACTATTGACTTTAAACAATACAATAAGTTAAATTATGATAATTTATAAAAATAATTTAGAATACTCAGAATACTGCATATTTGTACTTTCTATTATTTTTACATAAAAATTTCTTGTGTTAAAAATATTTTTTTAAATATTTCAGCACTGGCTAATTATTAAATTAAAAGTGGTTTATTGGTTTATTTAATTAGAGTGATGAATATGTTGTTAATGTTTATCATTATTTTTTTCAGTATAAAATGTCTGTAGTTTTTTATGGTCAAATGTAACTTATTGTCTGTATACATTATGTTCAGACATTTCTGAGGTTTACCTATTGCTTAGTGCCTTTTCTACAATTGTCGACAACGAATATACTGTAAATAATAAACAGCTACATGACTATATAAAGTATATATTGTAGATAAGCTTTAGTATTTTTTAGTCAAATTCAAAATAGATATATATTTAATATAAATATTGTATTTTTATGGAAAAAACTGATAATATATATACTACACATAATTAAACATATATCATACATATTTACTGGAGTATTCAACTTAGTTATATTAAGTTATACCTTGACATGTGCCTTGGCATCATGATTATTGGTGTTATGACGTAATATATACATACATTTGAAATTATATTAGAGTTAAAATTAAAGATATTGTTCATAATCAAAATATGGAGAGGGGATATTTCCATTTGTATCTGTAATAGAAAGAATCTATTAAGGTCAGGTTGAAATACCTACATTAGAATATTTATTTTTTTGTCGGGACTTGAGCATTTTGTTTGTTGAGAGAAATGTCTGATGTTTGTTAAGTCAGATTTCAGTTTAATATGATTTGATAATAATTAATACACAAAAGTATTATAGTAATATTTGATTATATAAGGATGGGGTTGGGGAGGTTTACAATACTAAGTATGTAATTGTATAATTTGTATGGAACAAATTAATGAATTTCAGATCAATTGTTGAACGAAAAAAAATTTTGATGCAGAATATGACTCCAATCAAGGGACATATAATGTTTTCAGAAGTTAAAGAGTTGCATGTCTGTATAATATTTTAAAACGCACAATAACAACAATATAATTAATTATAATTAAAAATTATTAAAAATTTATTTTAGAACACTAAAGAGCTTAAGACTATGGTAGAATATGTATTGAAACAAGGTCTAGAAGGATTAGTATTAAAGGACTTAACAGTAAGTGTATTGATGATTTAAATATAAATATAACTTATTTTAATTAAAAATCTGATTTTTTTCCTTTTTAAATTGGTTTTAAAACTTTCAAGTATAAGTATATAGTATAATATAATATAATATATTTTTAAAGAATAGTCTGTGGATACAAAGATACCTGAAATCAATGATAAATCATTTTATTTAAAACATTTTTACTGTATAAATAATTCATATTACATTGAAAATGTTTTAACTCAATTATCTGTCCTCATTTTTTTTTTTTTTTTTTATTATTAACAATTTTAATTGAATAGTATGCAGTGGCAAAACGAATGTGGTGTTTGAGAAACGGTTGCTTCTCGATTTTTTTTAAGATTTAGGGGTTGGTGGGTGCCAATATAAAAGTGACAAACAATAACTAAATAGTAGTACTACTAATACTAGTATTTATTACAATTTATATATATAAATATATTATAAGTAATAACAATTGACAGTAACGGCAGACGGTGGTAATAGAACTATTGAATAAATTCATATATTATGCCATAGATAAGTTTGCCATGATTTCAAGTGTTTAAAAAAAAAAAAAAAAACAGTTGATGTATAAATAATTAATTTCATATTTTTAACTTTGTTTTTAATTGACATAATAATATAATATTACTGTGTATACTAAGTTACTGTTAAAATATGTTAATAAATATACTACTATACGAACAAAGAAACAGCCTAGTTTTATAAAATGCAATTATTTCATTATTATGTTTTTTTTCTTTAGTTTTTCCAGCAATAATAATAATAATAATAATATATTTACAATAATATTTACAGTACATAAATTCACCTACATAATTTTATTGGTAAAAACGTTAATAGAAAAAAAATATTTTAAGTATAAGATGGGTATACCTAGTTGGTAAGTAGGCGGGTAGGTGTATAAATTTTAGTTCACTTATGGGTTATTTTAGGTTCATTTCGCCACTGACAGTATGGATAGTATTACTTAACTCTTAAATTTCATTGAGAAATTAATAACATTTTTTAAGAACTTAGTGGATTTTTAATGTATACTACATTAGTTTATTTATCTTCTATTAAAAATAGATAATAATATTTCAAGATATTTAAATATAAATACAAGTTGCTAATAACAATGAAAAATATTTAATTAGTGTTAATTAAAATTCTTTTTTAATTAAATTATTTTACCGTATCTAGTTTTTATGATAGTACCTAAGAACTTTTAAGGGGACAATTTTCATATTTTCTAGATTCTAATAATTAAAAGATAAATAATATATTAAACTTGTCAATATTAAGATTGTTAAATATAATTTTAAGTATCTAGTTCAAATACTAAAATTTATAAAACCTTAAATCATAACTAATTTATTAATATGTGTTCTTTGTGTATATAGATATTGTATATATTTATTTTAATTTCAGGGAATTTATGAGCCTGGAAAGCGACATTGGAAAAAAATTAAAAAAGACTACTTATTTGATGGATCAATGGCTGATAGCGCAGATCTTGTAGTTCTTGGTGCTTGGTTTGGTACTGGAAATAAAGGTATTATATCATGACACAATGCTTAAATTGAATCACTGAGATTTGTACTGTATTTAATAAATAGGTGGTATGATGTCTATATTTTTAATGGGTTGCTATAATGAAGCCAAAAATAAGTGGTGTACGGTAACTAAAGTACATGGTGGTCATGATGATAAAACACTAGAAAGATTACAGGTAATGTATAATTATACTTAAAATTTAAATATATACTTATTATTATAATACCAATTAATTATTAGAATAAATTTTAAACATTTATACCAATAATTTCATTATAGTCACTTTGAAATATTATTGTGTATTTTTATTAATTTTACACTTAGTAGAGATACCAATATTATATATTAATATTACCAAAAATATATTAATTAGCTGAAAAATTTATTTCCGGGAAAATTTAAACTTATTAATTTGATACTTAATGGGTCTTGTAATTTTAAAATACTCTTAGAACCTTTTAATATTAGAATAGCTTTATTCAGAGTAAAAGATAATAATAATATCAAAATTTATTATTATATTAATTTAGGATAAGTTTTTACATAGATGTGGATTTCACTGATAAAAAATGTTCAAAAAAAGAATACCTATGCTATATATTATATAAATATACATAATTCAGTAATCCTTTATATTTTTGGATATAGTAAAATTTCTAAATAACGACACCCTCTATTCAGAAGGGGTAAATTTTTGAAATTCATAAATTGTAAATGTGCAAAAAAAAATAAATATGCGCTTGGTTATACAGTAGAAACTAATTTAACTGTCATTCGATTTACCGTCACTCTCTTTATCCATCTTCGGTTACTGTTGAAAAACAGTCCTAAAACTGCCAACTAGCCACTCAGAAGTAGAAGCAATGTTATCAAAATGCAAAGCAGGTCTTACTTCGTAAAATATGATACATATCTGCTCAAAAAGCTCATGCCTCAAAAAAAATTACATAATATTTATTATTAGTATTATTATTTATTGCTTATTATTTTTGTCTGCAAATCACATTGTAAAATATATATTTATTGAAAAATTTATGTTAACCATTTATTCAATTGAATATTGAATAAGGTCACTTAATTTTGATAACAATATGAAAAATTAATTTTACCACTTTTCTATATTATGGTAAAGTGTTTCAATTATATTTTCATTATATCATGATTGATGAACTTGATATATAATTGTATATTGCTAAATATATTTAACTTGGTTATTTTAGGATGAATTAAAAATGATCAAAATCAGTAAAGATCCAGAAAAAGTTCCAGAGTGGTTAAAATGTACTAAAACAATGATTCCTGATTTTGTAGCAGAAGATCCTAAAGTATGTATGATAAAAACATTGAGAATTATGATATTATATTAATTAAAAAAAAAACATTTTGATTTCTTGAACTTTTTTTAAAATTCTATTTACTGTAGAAATGACTACACTATTACTAAAATTATCATCTTTCTATACACAGAATAAAAGTTCCTAATTGTTAAAATTAATTTTAAGGTATTTATAGACATTTAAAATGTTTGAATTCTTTTAATTTGTTCTTTTTATTAATTTTGATAAAAGTTTTCACAAAAAGTTTGAGAATTTGGGTTGTTCTTACAGAAATCTTAAAATATCAAACTGAATGCATTTTTATACAATTATTTGTTTTTGAAAAAATAGAATATTAAATGAAAACTTACACTATCTTTCCTTTAACTGTTTTCATTATAAGGTATTTTATTGTAATTCAAAAGATATTAATTGAAGAAGCTTAACATTTTTTTTGTTTTTGACATTATATTTACTTAAGATTTTATATACAATGATATTTTTAAAAGATTTGATATTAATTTTAAACTATTTATATCATGAACTTATTTGTTTTGTTCTACTCTACATGATGGTATTGTGCATCAATATTCAATATTGATATAAAGTTAATTACAATAATATATAATTTATTATTTTAATATATATTATAGTAATTGTTTTATAATAAATTACGATTTCTAAGTATTTGTAAAAATTAGTTCAATCAATTGTGTTACTTGGAGTAATATAAATTAATTATAAAATATCCTTAGAAATAAAAATGACATACCATTTTCAACCATTATTGGTTTTTGTATGCAATGATTTATCATTGAGTTCAAATTTTATTTACTTAATAGTCAATGGCGTTTTATCATTTGTAATTGTCTTAAGAGGATTTAAAATTTAAAATCAGTCAACATTTGTGAAGATCAAAATTGTCTCCTTCGATTATTTGTTCTATCTGATAGTCATAAAAACTAAATTGCATTTTTCAGAAAGTACATTGGTATTTGCATATTTTAATCATTTTATTCATAACATTATAGGCATGTAATAAATGTACAGAGTTATTCAAAATAAAATATAATCCATGTATATATTTAGTTTTTTAGTTTAGAGTAATGATGCATTAAATTTAAAAATAATATTTAAAAAGTATTTAGTAGTACCTATGAATATTCTAGGTGACTTCCCTTGGTCTACACATAACATCTTATCAAAACTCAAATTTATTCCAAGCATACCTGTTTTAATTACTTTTTTTAATTATTTAGATCTTCTATCATTGATAATAATGGTATTACAATGTTACAAATGTAACAGTTACATAGGAAACCCAGTTCCTAAATTTTGAATAAATCTGTATATTATAATACCTATTTAATAGTTAATAATAAAATAGATTCTATTTTATAAATATAAATATTGCGAAAAATATTTTTAATAGTCAAAAATTAATGATAATATAAAATAGGAAAAATTTATTTGGTTTTGAATGATGTTATTCTATTAAAAAAAAAAATATATTCAACAGTGTTAAGAATTTTTGGAATAATGCATGTCTTAAATAAATAGTCTTATATATAAAAACAAAATCCTGTCATAACAACAAAAAATTAATTACAATTTAGGTACCTAACTACCTACTTTTTTGATTAATAAAAACTGAAAATTGTTATAAACATTAATTATATTCAATAATTGTTTTTAGTTAATTAATTTTGTTTTGTGCTAAAATTTTAGTGGTAGATAAAATATTGAATTTGCATCTGTGTAAAAATATGTTAATTTAACTATAAAACAATATATTTTTTTAAAAAGTTTATTATTTGTAGAAAATGCCAGTTTGGGAAATTTCTGGAGCAGAATTCTCTCAAGCTGAAGTGCATACTGCTAATGGTATATCAATTAGATTCCCTAGAGTGACTAAAATTAGAAATGATAAAAATTGGAAAACTGCTACATCATTAAGTGAATTGCAAGTAAGTCAATATAATTTTAAAATTTTTTATAATTTAAGTTAATTTAATTCGATTTTTTTCTAAACTAATTTTTTTTTAGAAATTATATGAATTATCTAAAGAAACTAGCAATTTAAGTATTTTTTCGAACCTAAGCCCAGAAAAGAATACTAGTTCTGATAATGATTTACAAGTATCACCAGTTAAAAAAAAAATTAAGGTATAGTAAATTACGATTAGTTAATTAAATTAAATAGTTGTCATTTTATTTTTAAAAAGTTCCTCGTTAGTTAGTAAAACTTTAATTTAGTTAAGTTTTGTTATAATAAATACAAACATATATGAAAAATAAAGTATTCTTTGAATAGTTAGATTATATGTATACCTACTTTTAACTGTTATAGTTTTTCAATGAGCGCTGGAAAGTAGGAATATAATAAAGTTCTGATTATGTATTATATTGTAGTATATAGGTATTGTAGCCACAATTAAAAAAGTCGTGCAATAAGAAACACCAAACATTTTATTTTTATTTCTAAAACAAAACATAATAGCTTTTTTTCTTCTAGAGAACTTTAAAAACAGATACTACAGAAGTTTCTCCGTTAGAAATGAATAATGAAACTCCTGCCAAAAAAGCTAAACTTTCTGAAAGACAATTGCGGGTAAGATTTCTCGTTAATTTTTATTTTATATACCTAATTATACACTAAAGTATGTTTTGGTTAATAAACCAAATAATTAAATAATTAAAATCATAATTATTCTTAACCCACACAAAATTTACGTTTAAATGTATGTTTGTATTTTATTATTTTTAGCGTTTACCTGATTTATTTACTGGGATCCGTGTTGTTGTGCCAGATTCGATTTCTAAAAATACGTTTTTACGATATTTTATTGCGTATCCTTTTTAAACGTTACCTACTTATACCTGTTACATTCATCTTGTACGTAGGTTTACATTAACGATTACATACCTTTTATATGTAAGATCTAGATGCATAATATACGTGGTTCTCTATGTATTTATGTATAGCATGTTAGTATCCGGAACTACAAAAATCTTATAATTGCGTATCGGTCACAGTATGTACATTTAGTAGGTAAAGTTATTAATAGTCACTTTTATATTTGTATTCACTCTGAATAAAGTTCTCAAAACGTGTTTCTATACACAATAATCCAATTGAGTTACGAGCGTGAATAAGATTAATTAAATTAATTTTTTTTTTATTTATACAATAAATTGTGTCTATTTTTATTTTTAGTACTTAAAGTTGTTATTTTGTATAAACAATTGTAGTTTCAACGAAGAACCACTCCCAAGACTTGTGAATTTATCATTTCAATTTAAAAAACCAGTTTAAATAAATAATATATCGTAATATATGTAAATTTATAACAATAATAATTATTGTTTATATATAGGTACACAATATTCATTACTCACGTATATAAACTTCAGTTTATTAAATACAACATAAACTCTACATAACTATATTTTTTATAGAATAATAATATTTTCTTTAAAAAAGATGTTTCTATTAGTTAACGAAAATAAATTTCTATTTCAGAGGAAGCTACACGGACATTTTTTATATCCATCTTACAAATACGTAACATAACAAATTTACGTTCAGCAGATTAAGTTTAGCTTCGTTAGTTTAAAAATTAGAGTGAATCGACCTATAATGAAACTAGATGGTAAGAACATTATTTGTGTTTGTATGTAAGTTTACGATAGTTTAATTTCTTAGCAATTTTGGTGTATGTAAAATAATAAAATATAGTATAAATTAAAAATGCTCATAGCTCACTTAATAAATTTAATTATCGTAAAAACCCAATTACAAACATAGAAAATGTTCTTAGCATCAAGTTTCATTATAGGTCGATTCACCCTAATTTTTAAACTAAAGAAACTAAATCTGTTTTTCTGAGTGTAAATTTACGAGGGTGGTTCAAATATGATCGAGACAAATGCTGTAACATGTTTATTTATTATCGAAAAAATTTACAAAAAATCACATTTTTTCTAGGTAATTCCCCTCAATATTTATACATTTTGTCCATCTTTCCGGAAGTTTTTTGATGCCGGTATCGAAAAATTCCTTGGGCAACTCGGACAGCCATGTGCGCACGAACCCCTCTACCTCGTCGTCGGTGTTGAACTTTTGACCTCCGAGGGCCTCTTTCAGTGGTCCAAACATATGGTAGTCACAGGGCGATAAATCCGGACTGTAGGGGGGATGTTCCAGTACCTTCCACCCCAATTTCGATATTGTATCGAGCGTGAGACGCGCGGTATGAGGGCGTGCGTTATCCTGGAGAAGAATCGCACTTCGTGCTGGAATGCTCCTCCGTTTCGACCGATAAGCGGGTTTCACGTGTGTTTTCAGAAGGTTAGAGTAGTATACAGCATTAATGGTACGTTGAGTGCGCAAGAAATCGACGTACAGCACGCCCTGCCGGTCCCAAAACACAGTACACATTACCTTACCCGCGGACCAGGTTTTCTTCGCTTTGACTGGCGCCCCTTCCTCCTTCTTCCTCCACTCTTTACTTGACACCTTAGTTTCGGGAGTGTAATAATGTACCCATGTTTCGTCTGTAGTGAAGATTTGCGTTAAAAAATCGTCCCCCTCCGCCTCGTATCGCGTCAGTAAGCGGCGACAAACTTCCAACCGCGTGAATTTTTGCTCAAAGTTCAACAGTTTAGGAACCCATCGCGCCGTTATTTTGCGATATTGAAGGTGTTCGTGGATGATAGACTCTACACTACCAATGCTGATGCCGACTTCAACCGAAATGTCTCGAACATTCATCCTACGGTCCTCCAAAATGAGTTGTTCTACGCGGCGAATGTTGTCTGGTGTGACGCTGGTTCGCGGTCGACGATCATGTGGTTCATTCTCGACGGTTTTGCGGCCATCCTTGAATGCTTTGGCCCATTTAAACACGGCAGCCCTACTCAGGCACTCACTACCGAACTGCTTTTGCAAACGCACAAAAATATCCGTGTTTTTAACGTCTTCTACCACTAAAAAACGAATGATAATACGTTGCGCAACGGCAGTCGGCACTTGACGTTCACTCATGGTCGTAGCACACGCGTGAAACACGTGGTCCGACGAAAACAATGCCACACTATTTGTAAGAGACCCAGCTATCACATAATTAAGCCACTACCGTCGAAACATACATGCTCGCCATCTACAGCGTTTGTCTCGATCATATTTGAACCACCCTCGTACTATGATACGCACTTGTAAGACGGAGACAACACATTTTTGTGTAGTGTCCTCTAAATGAATGATTTTGAATTATTATTTTAAATAAATTTTGAACTATTTTTATTTATACAGTACATCCTTGTCAATCCGGCATACGAGAGAGTATACATACCGTGTCCGTATTATAATATTTTATTAAATTGTGATTTGTATTACCTATTCAGTACTCTGTACAACTATATAATAACATACTATTATTACAATTATTAATAATACCCATGTATTATTTATTTATTTATTACTCAAAAATATTACTATTATAATAAAAATAATTATTTATCAGGTTTTTCAACGCCCAGTGCAAGAATTATTTCGGCGCCCTTAACCCTTTTTTTTTTTAAATTTTAACACCTCTCGTCCACTACTCAGATTTTGGCGCCCTTGTGTCGTCGCACACGTTAATTGTATTTAAAGCTGGCCCTGATTATACATATTACATATTAATATGTAATATACATTTCGTATAGTAAATACGTGTTTTGAAGTGAAAAGAAATTTTTTTCAAAAAATCTTTTTAAGTTTGTCAAATAAACTTTGACTGTATTTTAAATATTTATTTTGATATAACTACAAGTACATTACAGACCATTTAGTAGACCAAGTTTTCTGTGATAATAATTGTGCATTTATTTGTATATCGATAATAGTTTCTAGTCTGTAACGTCAGTATAAGAAAATTAGTTAATTATTTTGTATAGTTTTATTTAATATTTCACTTAAATGATATATTTAATTATTTATCTCTGACTTTTTACAAAATGTTTTTTATTATAAACACATATAATTTATAACTTCTCAATTAGAATTTAAAGTATTGTTTTTGTATAGTACAAATGAGATTACTTACTACTAATTACTATAGAAGTGTATTATAGTCTACATACTCTATAGTTCATTTATTATTGAAAGATGATTATATTTTAAAATTTCAAACATATTATATTACTAATATTATGATATGTGGGGTTAGTTGATCTTTACTATTAATTTTAGATACTAATAATGACTTTCACTATTTTGTTTGAATTAAAGTTTTCTTAATATAAACGTTTAGCTATGGAGGTACATCTTTAAATACAACAGACAAATTGTTACCTACACATGTCATAGTTCCAAAAAAAGAACACAATAGATCATTTGAAGTAAGTACTCCTATATAGTTAGTTTTAAAATGCATGTTTTACTAATACTCAGATGTTTTCAATTATTAAAAATAGAAAGTTTTAATTTAAGAAGTATTAAATATATATTACATATGTAATACGTTTAGAGAAAATTGGTATGTACAATTTTAACGTACAAATCAAAATAATAATACATTTATTTATACGGTTTTTGGTAAATTAAGGGCTGTTAAAAGCATTGTCAAACATCAAGTTATTTATACATTTTAATTTTCTCAGTCTATATTACAAATACTATATGTGTGAATGCAAGCTTACGTAACGGGTTTAAATAACCAATATCTGTAGTTAAAAAAATTTAAAAAAATTCTATTTTACAAATCCGTACAAACTGCATATCTATATGAACAAATCTTATTAATTTTGAAAAATTTTAATTTAAGCCAAGATGCTGTTACAGTGTATAAACTGAGGTCTTACATCATTATTTTTTTCATCAAAAATTGTGATATTTTAACTGTCAAATGGTATAGGAATAGTAAAAACTTTTTTATACATCGAGTTCTAATATATTTTGTATAGCTGTTCGTTAGTTTCGTGTACTTACTTGCGAGTTGCAGCTTTAGTACTCTTATTTCAAAATGGAAATTGTTCAGAAAAATTAAATATAATAATATTTAATTCATATAAAACAGTGTGCTAATACTCATAAATAGGTTGTAGTTTAAGTAGGTACTCGACAAAGGTGGTTTGAATAAATATTATATTAAATGGGGATTAACATTTTAATTTAATTTTTATATAATATGAATATACAAATTTAAAACAATTTGGGAGAATTTAAATATTTTCTTCGAGTAAACATAATGTTAACCCGTAAGAGTTAGCTAGTTTTAAAAATCGGAAGAATTTAACACCATCGTCTTACAAAATACTTTATACATCAACCCATCTATTCATTAGAATAATTGACAAGAGTAATCATTGTTAACTACGGTAACTCAATTAATCAATTATTATTGCAAATTTCTTTATTAAAAGTTAATTATTCAACAAATTGCTTGTCCTTCCTAATAAAATGGCAGTATGCTTTGCACCAAAACTACAGTATAATATACTCAAACCACCTTTGAAGAGACTAGTATAATTTGTATATTTACCTACATTATGTACCAGTTGTATAATTATATTATTTATGAGAACAATATTATATTGTAAGATACACATAGCGCTCGGTCGTATTAAAATGAAAAATTTCACGTGTGTTGAAACAGAAACCGACGGCGGTGGATGAAGAAAAGAAGGGTTCAAGAGCCATCGCTGTGTGCGCACAGTGGTTTTGGGATAGCATACGAAATGGAAAACTGTTGCCCATAGAAAAATATCAATAATAAATCGTATACTGCATTACTTACGACAGTGTACTATTATTTTTTTATTATTATTGTTTCGTATACCAAGATTGTGTCGGATTTTTGGCCAATATAATATTATTATACTATTGTCGAGCTTAATATACGTCAACCATACTATATTATAGTTATAACTTATAACTTATTATATACGCACTACAGAACAATTATAATTTAATATTATACTTGTATCGACAGGTGCGGAGTACCCGTAAAATAATTATGTGAAGTATATACGAGTATATACACTATACACATTATGATGCCAAGTTTACACGCCAGAGCGACGGCGTGTAATAATCGAAAAACAAATATTATAAGCAATATATATTTGAACCAGTTATCGACTGCAGACGACATGGCAATAATAATAATAATAGTAATATATTTGTTTTTATAGAAAAATTGTCGTACCCGTTATACTATCGATAAACTATAGGGTTTCCGTCATGTCACGAAATTTTTAAATTTTCAAAAGTGTTTACAGTTGTTTGTTTCGATATTAATATATCTTAATTCTGGGAATTGGAGATCAAAAAAATAATTGTGTCACAAAAAAAATGCATATTTTTTTAAGTATAGCAACGATAATTTCCCAAGCATCGTATTACTTTGCGAGTTGAAAACTAACGGAGTAACACGTTTCCAAATACATATTTAAAAACATTTGCAAACATAAAACTATAATTCGCATTTTTCCTATCATAAGCAATTATCTTTATACAGTAGACGCCGCTTATAAGACTCACTTTGGGACCAGCACAAAGTGAGTCTTGTAACCGAATGAATCTTATAAGTGGAAAAAAAAATTAATTACGTATTTATAAATTTTATTTTACTACATATTTTGCTTTGATTTTAATACATTAACACATATTACATATTACATACTTTATTATTGAATAAATTTAATAATTCTGATAAAAAAAACTAAAATTATAATCGTTATAATTATCGTTGCGATAAATGTGAACTTTTATCTGCGATAAAAATTATTATACGTTATAAGGTACCAACAGAAACTAGAAATAATCAACACGAATATTATTTCATTTTTCAAAACCAATTTATTTCTAAATTATAACCAAAAAAGTTTATTTTCTACTATTTATTTTACGAAATTTAAGTCTTATAACCGAAGTATTGAGTCTTAAAACCGATTTTTTTTAATGTATTTGGATACGTCCGGATCGTTCCAGACGATTTTGAGTCTAATAAGCGACTGGACCTTATATCAGTGAGTCTTATAAGCGGCGTCTACTGTATGTATATATATAATCTGTATAGTGTATATACTATTATTCAGTATAAGTAAATAAGTTGACAATGATTTCTAGACGTAAGTGTGACGATGTGAAGGAAGGGAGCGTTCATCGACACTATACTCTCAAATTATGAACCTAGAGGGTGGGTTACTAATACATATGTATTATTGATTATTGAATATTTTTTAATATATTATCACGTGGCCATTTAAGTTTGAAACGACGGGGCTAGTTGTCAGTTAATGTGCGGGAGGCCAGTTTAGATATAAGGTGATTAGTGTGATTGAAGATATTTTTATAAAATTTACTATAATGGCAAGAAGCAAGTGTAGATATTGTTGGTAAGTTGAGGTCGTGATATTGAGTAGGATTACTGACATACCTGGAGGCATTTAAAAGAACACCTATTGATTGGAATGCTTGAAACTTGTAAAAAATTTCTTAAAATTACTTGTTGATATAAATAAATAAACCTTAAGATCAGAGCATGGGATCAGTAATTCAGTTTTATGTTTTATAGTCTGCTATATAAGATATATTAATGATCTTGTGTTTTTTTTGCAAAAGGGCCGAGACACTATACTCATACTTCCTTTTTGTTACGAGCATAAACACGCGAAGGATAAGTATTGTTTTCATATTACTTCCACCCAGCTCCACATCGTTAATGTTATAATAATAAAATTACTGCAACTCTTTTATTACTCTCGGGATTGACCACGTTAGCTTAAAAAAAATTTTTTACTACACTGCAAAGAACCGTGCCGGAAATACGATTAAAATGTTTACAGTGGCCTATTATCTCTGCGTACTCTGCGATTTCCAGGCTTCTTGACACTTATGTGACATTTATAAGTATAAATCAATATACCTATTTAAATGCGGATTTTTTGTAGTAAAGTGTTAAAAAATTTTAATTGAAAAGTATGTAGGTATAAGTTGTAATTTTTTTCCAAATTTTCGAAAAGTAATTTTTATGCATTTAAGTTTTTTTTTTAATTTTAAAGGCTATTTTTCACATAATATTTTTAAAAAATAGCTTAAAAATTAAAATTTTAAAACAAAGTGACCAAATCGTGTATTTATATCATAGAGTATATTACTCTGTGATCTATATCTATATTAGCGCATATACTTTAACAACGTATAGTATTGAGTTATCTCATTGATTTTCAAACTCCATTGAAAATATGTCATCGGTGCACAAAATTATGGAACACATAGAGTAGTAAGTAAATTGTCTAAAATAATTGTCGTAAAAATATACGTTCATAGAATTTTACAAAAGGTAAAATAATGCTAAACAAAACAAAATTTGTTCAATAGTTCCATGTAGGTGATTGAAAAAAAGCATTTGTAGTTAAATTAATTTTAACCAATGAATCTATACTTTTATAAGAAATGTACGATAGTACATCTGTGTTTCAATCGAGATTTATTCGTACTTCACTAAAATATAACGTATTTTTATGAAATTAAAAACTTAATTTACTATAACTTACATGGTAAATTTTCTCTTAAATTTAATAAATTTAAAAAAAAATATGTCCAATAAATGGTTATTTTTAAAATTTTAAAAGCTTAAGTGTGTGATTTGTTTTTTAATTTCTGAAAAAAGATACGTTGAAATTGATGTAATTTAATAGGTACAACTGTCTTATTAATTATTGTAAAAAAAGCACAATCCAATTTATTGATTTTCTATGGAAATACTAAGGCTAATATAGAACTTTTAGGACATACTGTAGAGTGTTAGTGTAGATAGATAATGTCATAATGTACTTTTTTACGCATTATATTATATATTGAAAGTTTTTCTAATCTACAAATAAAACGCAATTCAAAATAGTAATGAATCATGGTTATATAATAAACCTGCAATTCTCGTCTACGGACTTATAATCTATATGTATATCATAGTCCAGGATAGCCTTTAGAAATAAAGTTCACGAGTGCAATAGACCAATATGCAGTTATTATGGTACTTATGCTCAATAAAATTTTTTAATTTATTTTGACCTTTTAAACTTCTGTATAAAACACTTAAAAAATAAATGGGTGCCAAGCAACTCATCATTAAAAATAAATGACTTGGGATATTAATTAAGAGTTGGGTTATTTTTTTAAAATCAAAATAAAAAATTTTATATTATATTTTGAAAAAATGTATACGTTTTTAACGTAGGTACATCCAAATTTAATATCAAAAATTTTTGTTCTATTTTCTGTATTTCCTCACTTTTTATTGTTGCTCGGAGTTCATTAGCTTAATGAAACCAGGTTTTGAGAAAAAAATTACTCTGTGGCTACAAGCAGTATTTACTTAGATAAATAATCATTTGCGTGCTTGTATATAGTCGCGCATATATCTACTGACAAGAAGAAAATTGTACACACAAACGATACATGTATATAACGTATGAATATGTGTATAAATCTGGTAGAGTACCTATCTAATATGCGACACACACTCGCTCACACACCACAATTCAACCAGCAGGCGGACCACAATCGGAATTCCAGACGAGTAAATTTGTTTTCTACGTGCTAACGACATGATAAGTAGGTCACCCGTACGGTGAGCAGGTCAAGTTGAAGGTACTGGTTCAGTGTGGCGTGATCCAAGATCTCTTGATCTTGATCGTGAGCCGTCGCCGAGGTCGTGTGACGTATATGCAGCGACAGCGGTAACAGTTGCCTGCATCAACAAGTGTCTACTAAACTTGCGGCGACAGACACTGGCGTATTTATGTGCTGTGTCTGTGTGCCCCGAGTCAACATTTTCTTGGCACTCCCTCTCCTTTCACGAGGGATCAGCATTACGAACTTCAGTGTATGATTAATCCTTATTTAATAGGTACATGTAATATATTGATTGTATTTTGTAGAAAGTGAATAATAATGTATTATACATTTTAAAATAATTCTAATATTTAAACAAAAACTATTGATTATAGGTGCATGTTTAATATTGCAAGTGAAATAAAATATTCTTAGGAATATCATCTGCGATACGCCTCCACTAAGAATTGCTTTTTAGGTAGATATATTGTGACATATAATTGAATTCAAATTGAACACGGACAATGACATAATCAATGGCGAGGTACACTCATAATCTCCAATACAGCAGAGCAAGTACTCATATTTTTTAATGTTATTTTTAGATTGTATTTAATGACTAATAGATTGCCACAATACCGCGCTACATTATTATATTATTAACGGAAAAATATGAAACCCGTTTAAGTACTATATTTTTTATTTTTGTCAGAAAAAACAGATAATATTTTTATTTTATCACATAAGCTATGTTGTACAAAAAAATAATGAATATGACTTGCAACATGTTTTATGTCATTTAATTTGACTTAACATAAAATTTTGTTTATTATAATATGTGACCTAGGTTAGATTTTTAAGCTATAGTTACGTCGAAATGTATTCTCGTAATAATATGAATACCGATATAAAATTCATATTTATATAATATACATTATACAATATACATATATTGATAATGCAGAATGCTTTTTGTTTGTACCAGTGTATAACAATCACATAGGTAATACTTAAATAAAATAATAATGGGAATATAAATTACTATTTATACTAGTATATATAAATAAGAAATCATAGCCATTATATGAAACGTATTCTGTTAGTGTTTGTTTTTTGTAAAAAACTGTGTTTCTAAATTAAAATGAATCATAG